TTATGTAGTGGTGGGAATTGATAAAGCGATCCTATGTCGAGGCTGATATGTTGATCACCTGGCCGATACTTAAGGAAGATTTTATATTCCAATTGGGATAGTGAGAAGGATGGGCGCCCGAACAGCTTGCCAAACTGAGATAGACTGACACAGTTCCAAAGTACCGGTTTCAAGGAGGATTGAATGTTAGAACAGACTTTTTGAATATTTCAATTTATTGTTGGGTTACTTATGTTTTGATACTTCGGATGTTTTGAGTATTATTGAGGTATTTTAGGGGAAAGTACATGCATTAATAGTAATTAATGTGATTATATTTTTTTTGCGTACAGGGAGGCATCACGCCAAAGAAAGGAAGGAAAGAGGAGGGTTACAGGTGAGGAGAACCGGGAGAAGGGGTAATGAGTCTAGCAACAGTGACTCCTTCAGCATCCTCCTGGAGCAGCTGGCGAAGCTCATTCAGGGGTGTCTCCAATTCATGTATACCGTAGGGATAGACAAGACTGTGCTTCGAGAGCCAGTCCGCGACTCTATTCCCTTCCCGGTAAACATGAACTAGGTTCACAATCCAGTCATGCGCAATCAAACGTCTGATGGCCATTAAGAGCGCTGCATAGGGGTGTAAAGGATCTAACCTCTCTTTCATAAGTTGGATCGCTAGTTGAGAGTCGGTTTCAACGATGAGGGTCCTGCAATCGTGTCTCCAAGCCAACTTGAGACCATGAAAAATGGCCCATAGCTCGGCACAGGTGGCTGAACAAGAGCCCACGCCAGCAGCAAATCCACTGATCCAGCTACCATCGACGCCTCTCAAAACTCCACCTGCACCTGCTATTCCGGAATTAACACTCGCCACCCCGTCCACATTCAGTTTCGTCCAGCCAACTGGAGGTGGCTTCCAACCGACCTGTACCTCAATGCGATTACGTGGGGAATTTACCCGCCCCATCAGAGGACTCGGCGCATTCCAAGCCTTCCACCACAGCTCGGCCCGGATCTTCACAGCCTGCAAAAGAGAGGGGGCAGACAGGGTCTTGTTCACTCCATGAAAAACACCATCATTCCGGCTCTTCCACATGCTCCAAAGGGCAATGCTAAAAAACACATTCCAGGGGAGGCCTAGGAGGGAGGACTCCTCGCACTTGATATTGCTTTCAAACCAGCTGTTCCAGTTGCGGCTGAAGAAACTCTGAAGCTTATCCTGATGGAAGGTACGGCTCCAGAGATAGGCTGCCGGTGGACAGTCTCTAAAAATATGCAGCGGCGTCTCCGTAATAGTGGGGCATCTGAAACAGGAGGAGTCGTGCACTAGATGCCTCCTAGTTCTTTCCTCGTTCGAGCTTATTCTCCCTTGCGCCACCAACCAAATGAAGCACCGCACTCATTCTGGCACAGTAAGGCTCCAGATCCTCTTCCAAAGCTGCTGGTTGTCGTCGTCGATAGAATCTTGAAGCAGCTGGTAGGCACTCTTGGTAGAGAATCTTCCGTTGGATGTTGGTTGCCACAACAGAGTGTCTTCTTCCGTTGAGAGAGGGTCCACTACCTGCGCTGTGATTTGCCTCACTATGTCTGGGGGGAGTATGTGATCGAATCTCTCCGTCTTCCAGTTCCCGTCCTCGTCCACGACATCCTTAACCCGAAGCTCCCGATCCTCCTCCGGAATTTGATCCGCAGCCAGATCCTGAAGAGGTACCTGCGTTAACCAGATATCAGACCAGAAATTAGTGCTATTACCTCTATGAATATTCCATGCACAACCTTTCCTAAGCAGATTCCCATCTTTAGCTAGGCTGGACCAGGTAAAGGAACTTCCCTGAACAGGCCTCAGAAGGTTGAGATGAGTTTGGTCTTTCCCATATTTCGATCGAACCAACGGGGTCCAAAGGGTCTCTTTCTCTTTGATTACTCGCCATCCTCCTTTAGCCAGCATGGCTAAGTTCACTTCTCTTGTCGATCTAATACCCAGTCCTCCATTCTGTTTTGGAGCCAACAGTCGTTGCCAGGGGACCAGGTGCAGTTTCTTCTTCTCCTCAGTGTCCCCCCAGATGAAGCTCCTATTAATCCGATCTAAAGACCTGCAAACATTCATCGGAAGCATTTCTGTTTGCATAGGGTAAATCGGGATAGAGGCAGAGATAGACTTAACCACAGTTATCCGAGCAGCGAGAGAAAGGTGTCTGGTCTTCCAGGGAGCAAGCTTCCGTTGGATCCGTAACATCAGGTCCTGGTATCTGGTTCTAGTGACCCGGCCATGAATCGCCATAACCCCAAGATAGCGCCCGAGATCTACCGTGAGCGGGATGCCTGCCCGCCGCGACAGCCCTCTCGCTTTCCGCCTGTCGATGTTAGCCGAGACAAAGATTGCCGACTTCTCATAGTTAACTCTCTGACCAGAGCTATGGCAAAATTCATCTAAGCACCGCTTTATTATCCGCACCTGACTTCCCTCCGCTTCTGCAAAAAGAACAAGATCATCTGCAAAGAACAGGTGAGAAATCAAAGGCCCCCCCTAGAAAGTCTCAGAGGTTTCCAGAGTTTATCCTGTATAGCTTGATCGATCCTGTGAGAGAGTCTTTCCATACATAACACGAAAAGATAGGGGGAAAGAGGGTCCCCCTGGCGGACTCCTCTGGTGGGAGTGATAGGCTCTGAGAGTTCTCCGTTCCAAAGCAGCCGCATTTTATTGTTCTCAACACAGAACATGATGCAATTGATCCACGAACTAGGCAGACCCACTTCCTTCAAGGTATCCCTGAGAAAATCTCATCTCAATCTGTCATAGGCTTTCTCAAGGTCAATCTTGAGCACGATGCCCCCTTTCTTGCCTTTCTTTTTTCTAAGGGAGTGGAGGGTTTCCTGCAAAACGATAATGTTATCAGTAGTCTGTCTCCCAGGGATAAAGCTGCTCTGCCGTGGCGAAATAATCTTCCTCATGATTGGCTTCAGACGATTGGTGATGGCCTTCATGATCGCTTTCAGGCATACGTTGTTAAGTGAGATCGGGCGGAGCTGAGAAACTCTCTCCGGGTGTTCCACCTTTGGGATGAGAACAACCGTCGACTCTACCACTTTCTCTGGCAGAAAACCTGTAGAAAAGAAGCTGACAGCCATATCAATAAGAGTTTTCCCGACGGTTTGCCAGCCGTGTTGGTAGAAAGCAGCTTGAAATCCATCAGGTCCCGGCGCCTGGAAGGGCTTCATGTCGTGCACCGCTCTATGGATGTCCTCTCCGGTGAAAGGGCGAAGCAGAAAGATGAGGTCCTCCTGAGCAATCCTAGGAAAAGCTTGCTTGGGCATCTCATCCGTATACTCCTGGTTATCCTGCAAGTACAGAAAAGAGAAGAAGTCAAAAACCAAATTCGCAAGCTCATGAGGGTCAGATATCCACTCTCCATTGTTGTCCTTGAGACTCTCAATCCTGTTCCTCCGTCTGCGAATATTGGCTTGTTGGTGAAAATAGGCCGTGTTGCGCTCTCCAAATTGGACCCATTTCTCCCTAGATCGCTGGAACCAAAGAATCTCTTCTTGCTCCAGGATTTTATCAAGCTCCTTTTCCAATTTAACCTGCAGTTTGAAGAGACCTGGCGAGAAGTTATGAGCCACTTTAGTTTGGATTCCTTGAATCCGGCTCATTAATCTTCTCTTCCTACGATATATATTTCCGAAGGTGGATTGGTTCCATTGAGTCAGCTTGCTTGCCAAGTCTTGGAGAGCTTCCTGCAGAGGAACCTGAGAATCCCAACTATTAGACAGAAAAGTGTTATAAGACTCGTGAGTAAGCCAGGCACCCTCAAACTTAAAAGGACGAAGAAGAGAAGCGGTGTGAACTCCCTGGTTTCCAAGAGACGTAAGAATCGGGTGGTGGTCAGAATGGAGCCGGGGGAGGTGGGTGACCGTCGAGCCGGGGAAAACAGCATTCCAAGCTGCATTACAGAGACTCCTATCAATTCGACTAGCCTTGTAAGAGTTGGGCGTGTCTCCTCTGGTCCAAGTAAAACGAGGTCCGGAAAAGCCCAGGTCAATGAGCTCGGCTTGGCTAATTCTAACGTTGAAACGTTTGCACCGCCGATAGATGGCAGGAGTGGCCGGTCCTGCTTGTTCCGACGGGTCCCTGATTGTGTTGAAGTCTCCGGTTAGAAGCCAGGGCAGATCCATATCTTCGCTGGATCGGAAGATGGTGTTCCAAAGGAACCGCTGCAAACTTTGTCTGGGACTCGCATAGACGGCCGTCAAAATCCACGGATGCGCTGAGGCCGACGAAACTTTCACTGTGAGATGCTGAAAGCATGCCGACAACACTTCCACCCGGAAAGCTTGAGCGTCCCAGCAGAGCCAAATCCCCCCTTTTCTTCCGTCGGCTTCAACTCGCAAGACATTTGGAAACCCCACTTTCCCACATATTTGGTTCGCCACTTCGCCGCTAATCTGAGGCTCCAAAAGTATCAAAAAGTCCGGCTTATGGTGGTGAACGATCCATTTCAGAGCACGGGAGAAAGCAGCATTCCCAGCACCTCCTACATTCCAAGCCAAAATGGAAGCACAAGAGTTAGTTTTGAATTGGAAACCATCGGCATAAAATTAAAAAAGAAAAAAGAGAAGGGGGGAAGAAATCGAGTCGGAGAAGTCCGAAATTAAGGGCTCCCGGTCATGGTCGAGCCTGCAACTTCCAATGCTGGACTCGATTCCTCTCTACACTCCATTTCCGGGGCTTGGAGCTGGCTTTTCTCTGCCTTGCTCGCCTTCGCCGCTCCCGTCCAAGCCTCTATCTCCTGCAGCGTAAGAGATGCTAACCGAGTTCTGGCTTTGCTCTTTTTGTCCTTAACCGGAGTCCAAACTTGCAGAGCCTTGGTTGTGATCGTCACTGGGTTTTTCCGCGGAGATTTAGCTTTCTTCTTCTTGTGAGACCTCTGGTTTTTTGTCCGCTGCACCGATGAAGGAGGGTCATCTCTCTGCTCGCCTGTTTGCTGGCTCTCGTAAGCCGGGATGGAGATGATCTGGATCTAGGTGTTGTTTGGGCCTTTGACCAGATGCGTTGGCGGAGGGTCGGAGCTAGATGGACCAAGTCCATTTTGTGAAACAGCTTTGGTTTTATTGTGGTTAGGCCCATCACTGCTGTCCGAATCAATCGATCCCACATCCCGTCTCATTCCTTGATCCAACTCTGGCCTGTTGGGCCCCAAGTTTAAGGCCTTTTGCTTTGAAGGTATAGGGCCCAGAACACCCTTGCCGCCTGTCGACGTTTCCGCTGAAGCCTTTCCTGTTTTCTCTTTCCCTTTTTGCGACGAACCCTCAGAGACTTTCCCTTTATCAGGCTTGCCTTGTTTGTGATTTTCTACCCGTTGGCCCTGCGAAGCCTTATTCCCCCCCTTATTTCCTGACAAACTTTCCACAATTTTCGTCCCAGACCTTCCTTTCTCGATTTTTCCATCAGCCATGAGATCTCCCTGATTGCCATCCGAATTTCCTTTCTCGTGGGCCCGATTTCTCCGCCGTGATCGTCGTGTTACCTGCATCCACGGACCGAACCCAGCCTTGTCCTCCGACGAGTCTTCCGAATTTTTTTCCGGCGCCTTGGTGACGGCTCCGGCCACAATCGAAAGTGTAGGTTCGCGCAGGGATGGGCAGGTCGCTGTCATGTGCCCTACTTTTCCACACTCGAAACACACATTCGGCAGATTTTCATACTCTATGTACTGCCATTTGCCATCCAGCCGAATGCGAGTTACCAGGGGTTTGGACAAGTCAAGCTCGACGGCCATCCGGGCGAATTTGACACGTTGTTGATGCTGCGTGTGGAAATCCAGTTTGATTGCTCGCCCAATCAGGTTCCCTAATGAGAACAGAATCTCTTGATGGTAGAAATGAATCGGGAAGGCTGGAAGTTGAACCCAGACCACCATCGTCTTCGGCAGCTCATCGGACAGGCGAAACGCCGGCGTCCATTGGAAGACTATACAATAGTGATCGAAGATGGTCCAGGGTCCCTCTGTTAGCGCTCGAAAATAGTCTGTATCATTATCCAGCTTCACCAAGAAACACTCTTGCTCTAGCGCCATGATGTCGATCGATCCAGTCGGACGCCACATAGCTTTAATTTTATTGCTGAATGTCAGAAAGGAGATGTTCAACCCCATGGTACGTACCACCAGGGTACGCTTCCATTGAGTACACAGCTTTTCTCTGAAGGCATTAGAGACTTTCAGCTCCGGTTCTCCGTTGAAGGTCCCCGGTATCAGATCATGTTCCCCAACCGGCATCCACAAGCTCTTCGATTTGTTGGCTTCTTGGGTCTGCCCTGTTACGATACTCGCGTAAGAAACAGGCGGCACCACAGCGAGGGAAGGCTCGGTGATACCCTTTGGTAACGGCAGCGGTGCAGGATCTATCAACATGGACGTCTCGTCCGGTCGAGGGTTTGGAGACGCAGCTTCAGCCCCATCTCCTTCCTCTGGGATGGGTTGCAACACGTCCGGTGGCCTTCCCGATGGGTTGAGATCGGTTGCCGGCGAAGCGGGATGAGAGAGCATCTAGAGATATCAGAGAGAAGTCAATTCAGTGACTTGGTGTATCAAGTTATTTGCCCTAATCACAAATACAATTAATGTGATTATATATTCTGTAATATCTAGAGATTGTTGGTGGCGTTTAAGCAAATTTAGAACAATAATCCCTAAACCCTCATCTCTCTCTACCTACCTCTGCCGAACCTTTCCCTCTCCCGTCTCTTGTTCTACCTTTCCCCTCGCCTAGTGGCTCTCTCTCTCTTCTTTCCTAAATCCTTCCCTAATTCTATTCTACTAATCCCTAATTTCCCCGATTCGCTTATTAGTTATTACCCAATCGTGTAACACTAGACGTTCTTTCCTAAATCCTTCCCTAATTCTATTCTACTAATCCCTAATTTCCCCGATTCGCTTATTAGTTATTACCCAATCGTGTAACACTAGACGTTGACGACTAGATCCGTTGTTCTTGCAAGATGAATGTGGAGGAGGAGGTGAATATTATCCTACTATTAATTATTGACAATGTTAAGTATATTGTCTAGTCTTTATTGTTTTTATTTATTATATGTACTCTTTCATCTTTATTATTTTCATGTGCTATGTGTAAGAAACAAGTAGACTAAATTTTCAAAAACGTAGAAAAAATAGTGACAACTTTCGTGTTATGTTTACACTTTCGTCTTTAATATTTTTGGGTGTTATGACTTATGTGTACTCTTTCTTCTTTATAATTTTCAATAAATTAACGTCTAATTTCTAAAACATATATTTTTTTCGGAATAAAAAAAACACATCAAAAAATCATTTTAAATAAATAGTAACAAAATATAAATAATTAAAGTGAAAAATATAATTAGAATGCAAATAAGTATGTTTATTGAAAGAAATTAGGGAAAAAAAATAGGGATGTAACTTTGAAAGCTTGTAGGATTGGAGTAGAAACGTGTTTCAGAAAGCTAAAATGGACGTTTGAGAGGTCGGGAGGCCAAATTTAACTTGTTGGGTTAGAGTTAATCTTATTGACTTGTCCTTAATAAGTTAATTGTTTGCCCATTGACTTGCAAATCCCATGATTGGCAAATAGACTCTTTGAAATCCTTAATATCAATAAATTCATTTAAAATTCCATAGCTCGTTTTATCTGAAACATCCAATAAACAAAGTGAAGTGTATTGTTGTGCTTCTGCAGCTTTTATCACACTTTTGCAATACAAGTGAAATCCTTTTCCCCAACCTTTGATCAATACAGCCTCCAGCGAAAACAAAACTATTAGTTTGCTCTCAAAAAGTACTCATCCGCAAAAGAGAAAACAACGTCATGACCCCCAAACAACATGTAAAAGAAGGAAACAAAGACTATTCACATCAACCATTCATTTTGTCCCGCCAAAACCAGAAGAAGAAAAAAAAAAAAGAAGCTCCGAATGCAAATTCTATAGATACAAATTACAGCAACCATCATCTTCTTCAATCTCATCCACCAACCACCACTTCCTGTGGCACTATTTCAGGGTTCACTGAACTCGACACTCTCTCATCATCAACCTGACCAGTGCTTTCCTCAGCATTATCAGATGGGTGAAGGCTCACTACAGCAGAATCATTCTGGGTTTCTTCTTTTTTCTCCGCGTCAGCAGCTTTCAGGGCCTGGCTCTTTTCTCCACCTGCACTTGCTGCAGACTTGGGTTTGGCCTTGGTAGCCTTCCCATGATCAGTAGCTGCAACAACTCTTTGTGACTGAACTTTAGACTGCTGAGGTTTCTTGACCTGTGTTTTCGAGGCAACTGCATTTTTCACAACATTGGTTTTCGGTTTCTCCTTGGTTGAGTTGCTTGGCTCCAGGCTGCGAATGGATGAGCTGATGCCACCTTCCGACGATTTGTTCATCGTGGCGCTGACACTCTTGTTTCTTCCAAGCTTCGGTGATCTTGGGCGTGTCGTTGGAAGCTGCAAGAGGTTAAATAAGAACCCAAAAACAGAAAGGAAAAAAGGGCATTCTAAAACAGATGATTAAAGGAGCAAAGTGGGAATACCTTCTTCAGTTCAACTTTGGAAGGCGGCTCCTTATAGAATGTTGGCATAGGTGCGGCCCTAAATGTTAAGCTCTTCCTCAGTTGCTTGATTTCAGCTTCCTGGCTCTCCTGCAGGGGAAAAAGATCAAAGTTAACCACCTTATGCAGTTCATTTGGCATTTTTGTGGCAAAGTGCGCCTAGAAAAGTGGAAAGGGAAGCTGAGATCCCCTTTTGTAAAGTGCATTTTTTCAAACCCTTCCTATTCGAAGTACATTCTTTTACATCAAAAGTGTCGTTGATAAACAGTATCATTTGCTCATTTTCATGTTATTGCAAATATCACTCTCCCAATTACACAAAGCAAAACAACTGTTAGTGATATTGGTGAGTGGTGACAGAAGGAACAAAGTCTATAATATGGGGAAGCAAAGTGAATTAACTTGCCTTGGTTTTTTCTTGCAAAGTGCTCTTTTCAGCTTCCTTAGCATGGATCTTCTCTTCCAACTTCGAAAAGAACTAATGAGGAGAAGGGATTCAAATCATACAATTAGTATTTCACACATTTTGTTGGCAGAAACTATCAGCAATAACAAATGGAATTCAAAACTCTGCAGAGAAGGTGGATCATCACCTCTCTCCTCTTTTCAGCACGTTCTTCCAATCTAGAGGAAAACCCAGAGGCAGAAGTCCTTCGAGTACTAGTGGCACCCCTAATAGAGATCAAAACATTGTACTTATCCCTTATCCCATTTAGAGAGCAAAAGGAATTCGGGAAAAAAAAACTTAGGAAAAGAGCAATACGAAGCATTTGAATGTGTGTCATCATCTTCTTTGATCGGCGATGATGTAGCAACTGCCTTCACGATTTGATCACCTGACCTGAAAACAACATTTCCAGAAACCAAAGAATTATTTTTTTTGTTAACCTAACCAATATGTGCAACAACAAACATGAAAGATAAAACCAAAGGTGCCACCAGTTGACAAAGGCAAGATGGCTTACTCAGGAACCTCGGGTGGAGGGGATTTGGCAGCTTCATTTACAGAACTTGATTTCACAGGTCTGGTAGCAAAAGAACTCTGCCTTGAAGGCACTTTAACACCATTGCTAGTCACTTCCTTAGATGCCACCCCACTAGTAGTTGCACGCCTGCTTGGTTGATTAGAAGGGCGAAGCGAAGTGACTGATCTACTGAAGTTCATTCGAGATTTTGTGCCTTCATTAGGGGAAGGTTTAGTGTATGTTTTGGCAGGGGTATGTCCATCAACGCTCTTCCTCATTTTATCAGCATGAACTCCTCTAACAGCAAATGATAAACTCTGAGTAAGTCCAGCTGGCCTCTCTTTGCGCGAGGATGAACCAGGACCAACTTTCGAGTTGATTTTATCCTTAGCAGCTACTTTGCTGTTCTTTGAAGAAGCCGAAACCTTTGAAGTACCATGCTCCTGAACAATACATCATTGTGAACTATTGTCAGTCCTTACTGGCCAAGCATGTTTCAATGGAACAAGCCAACAAAAAAATAAGACCATGGGATGGTTGGTACATTGTACCTTTAAGGGTTTTGAGAGTTTACTTTCTGATGAAATTGCAGAGGTTTCTTCAGTCTTTGTGCCTTCAGCTTCTGCAGAAGGCTTTGAAGTTTCATTTGCATAAGATGGAACTCCATTATTGGAAGCAATGGTCTCCTCCACCTTTCCATCACTTACCTCAGGGGCTGTTTCATCACTCAACTCAATTGAGTTCTCAGGCTCCATCTCTTATCCAAGATCTGGGAGCACAACGAAACTGCAGAACTGATGCTGAAAACTGTCAACAAGTTGCATACCACAAGCTGTGGACTATTCATTGAGCAAAAGAGTATTAAGAAAGTCCTAATCATAATCTAAGCAGAGGGGGATCTAGTGAAAACCAGTTTTCCATAAACCAAATAGAGAATAGAAATTGGTGAAATTTTCAGACAGAAATCCAATGTGAAACTCACAAGATCTGGCATTGCTGAGCAGTTGGGCAAAAGATTCAGGTTTCAAATCATCAACAGGAAAGCAGAGCAAGAGAAGCACAAAATGCACTGAGAGATAGTCTAATAGTGAGTGAGAGCGGTTAAATCTCCTAAACCATATGGTTTGAAATACCCATTTCACATTTAACAAGTAACCGGATACTAGACTCACAGATAACAGCCATTCGCACTGATCAACTACAAAGTCAAACAACCACGAGCACGGAATCTATAACCAACCCATGTATAATCATCATATTTCAAAACATTATCTCACAGCCATTGCACTTGACAGGTGCATGTGATTTTAAGCATTGAAGCGATCATCTCGAGAAGTCAATGACTGATCTACATCATGGAGGGCAACATACCTAAAACGCATTCCCTACACGAGCTTCCGTTCACTTCAAGTAGATACGGACAGAACACAGTTTCTAACTAAAATTCTAATCAACTCCACTAGGCAGTCCGTATAAAAAACTAGCTGTCTAAGTTCTCACCAATATCAAGCAAGCTCTAATTACAAAGTTTCAATTGCCTTATCATTAAAGCAAAAACATCAAAACATTAATCATCGCTTAGCTTTCTCCCGTTGGGAAGCACCTAGTCAACTGGTTCATAAGCTCAAAACTCTAAACAGGTAACGGTAGAACAGGCGAAACAAGGAATGGGAAGATCGATCAGCAGCCAGAAGAGAGTCACAATCCACAGGCCAAGTCTGAAACAGCAATGGAAGAATTCACTAATTACATGATCGAAGGCGTAAGGGGGGAAATCTCAGGCCAGTAGCCAAAAATTCGAAAAAAACCTCTGAGACACGGTAATTCGATTCTCGGACAGAAGAATTCGGCCGATTAGAGGGCGCAAATTATTATTTCTCTCTACCCTATCTTCGATCTGAAGAAAGTGAACGGGAGAGAGAGAGAGAGAGAGAGAGATAAGAAGATAGAGGCAGAAAGCTGTGAGTGAGTGGGAATTCATTAGATCGGAGTGAAGGAACTTAAATTTTCCACATTTTCCAAGCAACCAAACACCATGTCATCGCAGAAAATCAGAAACCCACCTCAAAACAAAGCGCAAGTCTCACAGAAACAGAGCAACCCAGCAACAACTCTGGCAACAGTTTCGTACAGAACGAAGTGGGCACGCGAAATCAATCCAAGTCTCAAACTTTTCAAACTTACTGCCACTCAAGAACCCAGCAAATCAAAACCCAACAGAAGATCCAGCACAATTTTTCAGCGGTAAATACCCAAATCAAGCCACTCAAGTAGAATATAAACAAGGTGGGGGAATACAGAGGACAATCACAGGGAGTGGAGAATTGCAAGAGGAAAGCCAGACATCACAAACATGAAGAAAGCAGTGGCAGTGAAGTAGAAAGCATACCTAGGACAGGGGAAGAGAAGTTTGTGGTGCCGGTGACGAAAGAAGTTTCAACCGTTGAGAGAGACAAGAGAAGAGAGCCCAAAATTTTGGGGATAAACTCTGAAAGAAACCGTATACAAGGAAGAAGGGCAACTGTAGTTATACAGAAGAAACCCTGGATCAGCTAATTAACCAAACAGAGAAGAGAAGAAGGATTACAGTTATTGACAGTATCCCCCTTTGTTTCTTTTTTGGATAGAAACAAACAAAGCTGGCTGTGATGGCAATGGTGGAGAGAGGGAGAGAGGGAAGGGAAATTTAGGACGTGGGGATCAATGAAAGAAATCAATCAGCGAATCAGACAGAAGAAACTCCGGTTGGTAAGTGAAACTTGTTTATCCTTTTCAATTTTGATGTTGAGTTATGTTGACTATTCATCATTTTTCAATTATCATTTTATCAAAATTTAATTAATCTTTTAATTAGTGCATACATGTTGATATTGTTACCAAAGAGAGCATTATTTAATTAGCTCGCAAGTTGCAACTTAGCTTTTAAGTTCTCTCATGATTAATACTGCTTTGATGTTTTATTTATAAATCAAATTATATGGTGTTATCAAAAGAAAAAAAAAATTCATTTAATGGTAAGATTGACATATCTCAAAAGTGAGGAAGTAAACTACACAATTGATCGGAAAAATCCTAAAATACACATGTTTTTAAAAAAATTCCCAAAATACACACGTTATAAAAAAATTTCCCAAAATACACATGTTTGGGCATCACCGCTGTTGTCAACCGCAGTGATTGCATTCACCGCGGCAGACCAAAGCGGTGAATGCATCATCGCGGTTGACGGCCGCGGTGAATGCCTAACGTAACACTGGAACTTCAAACAAACGTAACTTTGCGTTCGGTTATCCGATTGTAGCGAATTTTTTTTTTTTTTGATTCCACATAACTTTTCAAGATCTTTCAATCTGCAACAAGCCTTCATCCAAAAAAAATTCGTTTGCTACCCCGAACGAGCAATTTTTCGATTTTGACAAACTTTGGAAGACCATAACTTTGTGCTCCACAATCCGAATGTCATTAAACTTTTTTTGATTTCGCATAACTTTTTAAGTACTACAACTTTTATTATAACCATAATTTTGGAAAGTATGTGGATTTGTGAAAAGTAAAGGCAAAGTTATTGCCAAAATCCCGTATACCCAAAAATATTTCTTTTTTAAAAAATTCTTTCCTAGTAAAAGTTGTAGTTCTTAAAAAGTTATGCACAATAAAAAAAAACCTTTACGACGTTCGGATTGACGAGCTAAAAGTTATGGTCTTCTAAAGTTTGGAAAAATCGAAAAATTGCTCGTTCGGGGTAACAAACGACATTTTTTTTAGATTAAATATTTCTGCAGATTGAAAGATCTTGAAAAGTTAAATGAATTAAAAAAAATTCACTACAAACGGATAACCGAGCGCAAAGTTACGTTTGTTTGAAGTTTCAGTGTTACGTTAGGCATTCACCGCGGCCGTCAACCGCGACGATGCATTCACCATGGCCGTCAACCGCGATGATGCATTCACCGCTTTGGTCTGCCGCGGTGAATGCATTCACTGCGGTTGACAACAGCGGTGATGCACAAACATGTGTATTTTGGAAAAAAAATTTATAACGTGTGTATTTTGAGAATTTTGTTTAAAAAATATATGTATTATGGGATTTCATCCCAATTGATCCCGGTTTCCTAAACAAGACAAGACATGTACCAATGACAACCATGGTTGTGGGAGAAAAAAAACTAGTTTAGTGTTGGTCGGTTCGATAGGTACCGACCATCAAATTGGTTGGAAGACCTCGTAGTATGAACGGTCAATTTAAGTGGTTAAAACGGTGAAATCGATATGACCAGAATGATCAATTATCGACAGCTAGAAACAACGTCACCATTTTGTGACTGTTTAATGGTAACTAAAAAATGAATTTGGTTTTTATATGTGAGGATGTTCATTGTGTACTTTGATATTTAAACATTAAATTCTAAGTATGAACATTTGAATGTTTAGGTTATTTATTGTATTCAAGTATTAATGTTTAGATATTGATGTTATTTGTTGGATCCAAGTACACATATTTGGATATTGACATTATATTTTGTACTAAAATATGAGCGTTTGTCATTTCATTTTTATACGGATATAAGTTGTAGGTCATTTTTTCTTAAAAAAAGTTATATATACATGCAATAATTTATTTGATGCTAAATAATTTCCAGTTTCCCCACATATTATGCTAAAATCTGTATAAACTGATTGTACCCATTGGACCGTACCACTTCCTTCACTGACATAACAATTAAATCGGTTTGACAACGTTAATGGAAATTGGCAGTTAGTCGTAACATTAAACTGGGAAATTTTTAAGAACTTTAATGATCTTATTTAAGAGCTAAAGGAAAATTTGAAATGGACTTAATAAATAAGGTAAATTAACCTGTTATAAGATGAAAGTGGCCTAATTTCTTTATTTTTTGTAATTTTAGTATTAAGAACTGGATCAATACTGCGGACCAATGCTACCATAACCAAATCAGAGTATGAACTGGTGTAGCTAGCCGTTCACACTTTACTTGTTTACTCGATATCAAACTATTAACGAATCGATGACTCATAAACAAAAATATTATAAATAGAATACACATAATAATACACTACATCATAAATTTGAAATAGAATACATTACCTTTAAACAAGCACGAGTACTAAAGTCCTAAAGTCCAAATTCCAAACATTAATGTTCTCCAATATAAAAGAAATGGTTTAATTGTCAATATGTCGCTACAAAACTTTTCAAGATTAACTATGATATTTTTTAGAATAGGAAGCACATTGAGCTAATTACATTTGCATCTTTATCAATAATGTTTGAAGTTGTATGCACAATAACACAAAATAGTGGTGAAGTAGCTGGAAAAGAATTTGTTTTCTCTCTGAGGAGACTTGGGTTTAAATCTAAGCGGTGACATTTTAATAAACTCATCTCCTGAGAGAGATTGTGGCATGTCTCTGAATCGATAGCCCGGTTCGCCCTGTTCAAGCGATTAATTGTTCGAGCTGATATTTGGCAGTGGATCAACAATTTTATCTATCAGACCAACCAATTCGATTTAGTTTTCACAACACGACTATGAGAGTGATCAACAAGGCGCAATTTAAGCTTTTCATAATTTAATTAAAATTCAAAATAATAAATTAAATCAACTTTCCAATCAACCAAAATGTTCCACATGTTACCCGTCAATCATAAATGGCTCATATCTTCTTTGTTTCGAATATGATTTTAATATTTTTGCACAAAAAATGCCAATGTTAATTTGCTTTATGGTAGGTTTTACTAATATTGAGCATTTGGAAAAAAATGAAATATCTAGAACTTATAATTGATTAATATTTTCAAGTGAGTTGGCAGTTTAGAGATCTATACTAGGCATAGTACTTTTGTATAAAAATATTTTTGATATTCTTTAACCTTTAGGTAGATTATCAAGGTGTTTAGTGCTTATGAAAGTATATAACTATTTTACTGTAAGTTATCACACAAAACATGTATTGTTCAGCTTACATACTAAATTATTGGGGTAAATACCCTTCTTGCACTAAAAGACTACTTTGATGACATGATCCTTCATTTACCCATACAAAACAAATAAAAGCATGCATTGTCATTTGTCAACATAATGGAAATGGACTGAGATGGGAAGATGTCTGCCGGCGAGAGTTTACATCGATCTTACTTTACATGTAGTTGTTCTTTGATTAACGTACAAGATTAATCATGACTTTAGGTTGATCTCATCGTAAAATTGAAAATTGCGTACGATTTTGTCTCTGGACACATGCAAGTTTAGATAAAAATACAAGACACATGTAAGTTTTTGTAAGAAAATAAAAAAAACTCATTTTTATGTTTATGCAAGAGATTGAATTCACCATTTTTTTTTTTAGAATAACTCACCATTTTGAGGTAAGGTTGATATGATTTGAATAAGATCATTTTTTGTCTATTGGATGGCACCGGGTCTGTTCTGTTTTCTTGCATTGTCGATTGCCCGACCCGTCTCCGTAAGACCGTAACAAGTAGCATGAAAGTATCTTACCTCTCTATGAAAAAGACACAACTAATTTCAAATTCTGACTATGCCACACGAACTATTTACCACCAATAATTAAATTATATATATCGCATCGGATTCCATTTGTTCATAATTTAATTTTATTGTAAAAAAACAAAATGCATGCACTTTCAATTCAATTTCTGTCCAATGTCCATCCCCTTATCCCATATTCTCATCCCATACCATTACCATACATGGCAATGTTCCTTAGTTACTTTTTTCTCACTCTATGATTCTTATTCTTATTCCATGCTTGTGTATATAATAATAGAGTGAACCCAACAGAGAGCAATAGAGCATGAATGACTATAACATAAATATTAGTATGAACTAACTAAATCTATTTACAATCTTTTATGATGTAGAAAAATATATATATATTTTTTGTCGAATTTCATTCAGCCTCTTAGATTTACAAGTGTATTAAGAACTAGCAAATTCAACCTACTAATAACCCTGGAAAAAAAATATTGTCTTCAACTTCACTATGCTCAAAATCAACTCTTCTAAAATTTTGAAGAACTTGAAATTCTCTACCAAAGCATTTAATTTAGTATGTAGGTGGGCCAACTTAGTCAATTTTGACTTAGATTAGAGTTCGAAGACTCTTTTTATTTTCAATGGTGATTATACACTAATATAATTAAAATAAGTAGCTTTTTGATATGTGGATGGAGTGACTAACATGTTTCAGTTCACGCAATTCAGTGATTTCACTGTACCAAATAAATATTTAATTTCTAATGTGTTATATATAGTTGAGTAGAGTGATCATATTGGTCAATAGGGCTACAAATGAGCTGAAATAAACTGAGTTTTGATCTTGTTCAGACTCAACTCATTAAAAAAATTAGCCGAGCTCTCTTTTACAACAAAAAAAAGGGCTCAATCTTGGCTCATTAATGAGCTCACAAGCTCGATCTATTCGAGTCTAGCTCGAAGTCGCTTAATTCTAAATAGTCGAACCTCTAATATAATTATATAAATAAATGACATGCATGTTATTAATATAATGAAAGTCGAGTTGCACCTCCCTGGGCTTCAAATACAATTTTCGATTAACCATAAAAAATATATTATGAAAGTAAAAAATGATCATAGTAAATTTTTCATTACTAACTATCCTATTTAGTTTATAAATTCTAACTAATTCATATCATGATATTTAACAGTAATTATTATCCAAAAAAGTTATGATAAATAATTTTTATTTCAAAAATATAAATGATGCATATTTTTATCACACATTCAAAGTGTTAAACCATCATATATTGTGAAATATATACTCTAGTAAACCTATGAACTATTAATAAGCAAGCTCATAAGCTATAAAAATCAATTTAGTAGTAAGAGTCTAGTCGGAGTGTCTCTCTAACACAAATGTCGAGCCAACTCATAAATTTACCTCAACAAATCATTGAATCAAGCTAATTCACAAACCTCACGAACTGAACAAATCTCAACTCAATCTCAACTTCTTACTCAGTAAGTCTGAGTTTCAAACAAATTCTTTTCACGTCTTGGAACCCAAAAAGAAAAAATCTTCATATATGCCAATGATTGAAGGAAGACATAAACGCAACTTGGCACTGTTTGACAACGTGGTGGGTTGGGGCCTTGCTGGCGAGCTGGGGCCCATTTGCCTTGCATTACACAGGTGGGCGTGTTCCCGCGAAATCCTACGTGGCATGACCAACCGGCATGATTGGCCACGTGACAGCCGCTCCCCACGACAACTGCATCTGAGCTGTCACAAAACGTGCGCTCAGGATCGGCTAGCGGCTGCCGGAGATACGATGCCGGCCGTCAGATATTGATGGGCCCCCAGCGTGTCTGTTTCTTCTTCGGTGGAGAGGGAGGACTGAAGAGACATTTGGGACGTGGGGATCAATGAAACAGATCAATCAGTGAATCAGACAGAAGAAACTCCGGTTGGCATTTGGCAAGTGAAACTTTTTTTTTTATCCTTTTTTTTTCAAATTTATTGTTGAAATTAATTATGCCGACTATTCATCAGTTTTTTTTTTAATAATTATCATTGATCAGAGTTTAATTTGGTGCATACATATTGTTATCTAACAGAGTATAATTTAGCTGGCGAGTTGTAATTTAGCTTTAAGTTCTCTCATGATCGATACTGCTTTGATTGATGATTTCTTTATGAGTCAATTCTATGGTAAGATTGGCATATCCCAATGGACAGGGAATCAATCCTTTATCATAGCACAATTGATCATGGTTTCCTAAAGGAATGCGTTAGGGTGACAATTAGAATTTTAATAGTCGTCGTGGCTACAATAGTAACCGCCGTTCATTTTTAATTTTTTTCTCTTTTTTTAATCTCACGGTTAAGATTGCTCCAGTGTAATTTTGGAAAAAAAAAAACCACACTCGATTATTCTATATAATATACCAAACCTTAATTCTACCCTTCCCAGTCCCCTCCCTCCAGCCAAACCTGTCGCAGCCGCAAGCCCCGCTGGCCGCCTCCGTCACTCCCGGCGCACTAGTTCTGCCGACCGCCTCCCCCAGCCCCGACGCACACCCACCAGCCCCGACGCACCAGCCTCGACGTCCCATAAACCTGACCATCCCCTGTCGCCCCAGCAGCAAAACAGGAGGCTCTGTCAATCCCGAATCGGAAGCTCGCGGAAGAGAGAAAATCAATTCATATCATCATCATTGCCTCGAGTAGAGAGAGATAGAGAGTGACCGAGAGAGAGCGCACCATGAATTATATATATACATACATGGAAGTTAACAAGAGCGAGCAGCAGAGCAGAGGCGGAAGGCAAAACCAAAAAGCAAAGAAAGTGATCTTTGTATGCAATGGTAGTGATCTACCATTTTTGTAGTTATTTGCGCACATTGGCAGTGATCTTTCAATGGTAGTGATATTTTGGTGGATTGGTATGTTATTTTATCTTGCAATGGTAGTGATCAAGATGAGTTGCACTGTTTTTTTTATTTATCTTACAATGGTATGTGTGTACGATTTGTGAAGACTGACATGCATTAGTAGTGATCTACCGCTGGAATGGTAGTGTTCATTGTAATATGTGCAATGGTATTGTTCAATTTTTATGGAATGATATTGGTCTCCTTCTATCTTGGTCTCCCAAAACCCTACGGTAGTTTAATTGCCTAATAATCACTTTCCGTAATTATCTCTCCCCAATCATCCACATAATTAATATGGTAGTTATGATTATAAGAAAAACAAAATATTATTTCTATCCTTAGTAGCCACGGTGATTAATAATATTAAGTAATCACCATAACCTCTCTCGTTTCCTATATAGGACATGTAACGATGATGATTGATAGTTAGCATGGGTAAGCACCGAGTCCATTCAAATTAGACGAAATCACTATTCTCGGTCTATCATCTGATTAGACCGAGAATACCAGGTTCGAGACCTCAAAACAATATACCTCCTGTAAATTACAATATTTTCGTAACTATCTCTATCATCCAATTAGACCGAGAATACCAGGTTCGAGACCTCAAAACAATATACCATAAAATATCATACCATTCTGGAGTAATGTCGAAATATGACGCATAACAAATTATAAAATATTATAACTCATGGAAAAGGTAAAGGAAAAAGGGAAATCTTGCCACTTCCTCCTATGAATTCCCTAATCGGAACAAAACGAAAAATATTCGGGCTCTTTCTCAAGAGAGGATCCGACCAATAATCTTATAGTCAGTAATCTTGCATAACCTCTCATTTACCATTTATGGAAAGCTTTTAACTTTTTACCCAATTAATATTAATGGGTTATATCTCTTTCGTTTTAAGTCATAAATTTTCCCCGGATAAATCATATTAATTATGCTCTTCAAAATGACATCCACTTTAATATATTATGGAACACAAAAATTGAGACATTTATTACCAGTTCATACCATGTGATAATGTTTGGTAGTACATAAGATTATACCACGTGGTATGGAAGTGCATCATGGTGGTATGAACTTATCAAAGTGTAGAATGGTTGAATTTATAATAGTAAGAATATAATAACCATCATTTTCCATCTTTCATCACCATATGCCACCAGTTACCACCCTATACCACCTTGGTATAGGTGGTAATGATTGTCAAGTCTCTAGTTTGTTTTGTTTTTAAGTTAGCCAGTATCATATACGGGACACATGATTGGTGGAATGACGACTCGAACTCTTGTACGAAATAGAACGATAAATCGAAGGAAACTACAATAAACTATGATAAAAAAAAGATAATAAGCTAGTATTTGAGTTCCAATCTTCATTGATATTGAACTAGAGAATGAATACATATTTATAAGGCATAGAAAATGATGTGAGCCCAAGGAGCCCTGGGACCCGCGCACAAATCCCAGAGGAGGAGGAGAGCAAATGGCGGGGAAAGCAACGGCAACCGACTGGGGGTTGGCAGAGGGAAGTTCCCCGATCGGGGAAATGAAAGGAATGTCGGGGAATGCATGAAGGAGGGGTCCCTGTCAGTGACCCTAAATAACCGACCGGGTATTTTGCCCGAGTTTCGGACATGGTGACAGGATTTTTGTCATTTTTAAATTGTTTTCATTCCTTTTAATTGCCCAGACCTATATAAAGGTTGAAACTCGGGTTTTAGATTTAGTTGTTAGTAGAATATTGATTTTTATCTTGATTTTGAGCTTCGGTCTTGAACTTTTATCTATATCAATCATGTTTTCCCCTTGATTGTGGTCGAAATTCTACCTTTTTATATTGATTGAGCCTTCTCCCAATTTGTGTTGAGATTGCACTTCAATACCATCGTATCCCTATCGTTTTATTCATGTTCTTAGTTGCGTTACTTTAATAACTACGGCTACATGATCCTCGCTCGTATAAGAAAACCCCAAAAATCATGGCTCATTGCGCTTTCTTCTCCGACATTAAGCCGCTTGTCTTCAGGTTAGCATGTATCATTGTTCATTTCTCCACGAGGGCAATACTGCTAAGATGTTTTTGTTATAATGTTACTTCTTTTGCCTTATGTTCATTACGTTGATATACATTTGTATATGCTAAAGGGCCCATGTTCTTCTCTTCGAGATGGGGGCCGAAACGATGGTACAATGGGAGAAGGAGGGGTCGTTTAATACAACTCAAAAATTACCCTTAAAAAGCCAAAACAAATAATTAAGGATAAAATTGTAAATTCAACCTTTAACTAATAATTCTCAAGGCCACAAATCTAATATGAAATCCAACAAGCAAACAATCACTTTTTAAAATCCAACACAAATCCAATATGACAAAATCCCACGTAATACTTCAATCGTAAAATATAGGATTTTACCCAAATCCTTCATTTTTAAAAATTCTACAAACAAACGACCTCTAAGGATTTGGGAAAAACAAGTGTATAAAAACCAAAATCTCAAGGCTAATATCATTCAAGAACGGATGAATGAGATCCTTACCTTAAAGCGGGACCACATAATTATTCAAGAGGAGAAGGATGATGAATTGTTTTGTTCAAGAGTTGATTTGCTCCAAGAGGGCTACAAAAATACTAGATTCTTCTATACTTTTACTATCTAGCAGAAACAAAGAAGACAAAGAAGGTTCTTTAGGGCATGAAGTTGCGGTTCTTTGCTCGGAAATGTTCAAAGATAGCAATTGCTACGAGAGAGACTCTTCTCGCGAATTTGTTCTCAAAACCCGAAATGCCCTGTATGTGAATCACCTGTGAAGACGGTCATACATTACCTATTCTACTGCCAGCATGCTGCAAATACTTGGCATATTTCGAGCCTGAGCGTATCTCGTACTCCTCGAGATGCTTCTTTCAGTTTGTGGGTCTTCAACTTAAAGGATCTGTTTTCAAATGCCCAAATTGGGAAGATCATTTTCTGCATGTTGAACATTTGACTGGCGCGTAATATTTTTTATATTTGATACCAAGCCTCCTACGCCGACCTTTTCGGTAATTGTGGTCGGTCGAGACTTCTTGGAAGTTGGAATGGGAATGGGAGGAAGCTATGAATGGCCTCTCTCCTTTGTCTTCAAATCGACCAGCTCAATTGTCTCATCATTCTCGGAAGTCCCATCAATACACTGAACCACTACCTTTCTCCAGTGTGATAAACTGTGATGGTTCGTTCGTTGCAGAGTCGAGATTACTATTGGTAACTCTCATGGTCAGGTGTATCATGTACGACTAGGGATGGCAACTTTGCCCATACTCATGGGTTTCTTACTATCCAATCCAATTGGGTTGGGTCTGAAATCCAAATAGATGGATATGGGTAGAGTTCGATGGGTTTGTACCCATACCCATTTACTTTGGGTTGAGTTGGGTTTATATCAAATGGATTGAGGTTTGTACCCATGCCCAAATACAAATTACAGTTTGGTACCCAAACTTAATAGATATGCATATTTAGTAACTAAATTTAAATTATTTTTTTCATATAAGTCCTCAAAATATCGATGGAAAATTACGTTTTGGTACCTAAATTTTTTTGTCTTACATTTTGGTACCTAAACTTTTCAAGTTTTGCAAATAGGTCCAATTTTTGCATGTGTAGTTAAAACACCCTCAAGTAAATGGATATCCATATCCAACCCATACCCATTTAGATTAAGGAAGCCCCAAACCCAAATCCATCTATAAACCCCCAAATCCATATGCACTTCACCCATACCCAACCCATTATCAATGGGTTTACTTGGATTTGGGTATAATTACCCATGGGTGGGTAATTTGCCATCCCTATGTACGACCACAACGTTTAGACTTTCCTTTTTCTCAACCAATATAAGCACAAGCATTTGGTCTCCTTAATGCCATTGTGTCAGTGGTGCAACACTCAACCCCGACACGTATTCGTACTAATTGGCAGGGTTATCAAATGCACTAAAACAAAATCCCTCAACTTCGCTTGGCAATGTCGAGCTACCATTGCACAAATGTCCTACTTTCTTTAGGCGCAACTTATTTTCGTGTCGAGTTTGTTCGTTGATGATTTAACGGGTTTGCAAATTAGCTGGCTTGTCAAACTAGGGTGGATTCGTTACCAGTGGATTGAGTTTTAATTATTAAAATTATTGCTCCACAGTTGTAAGTAATAAAAGGTTCTCTCATTGTTAAAAAACCAGAAGAGAGCGTCTAAGTTAGTGTAGGAGACATTGGCAAAGGAAAAATGTTATGGTTTTGAGTAACCGTTCATGGAAAGGGGTAAGAAGTTTTAAACTTCTTTGGCAAGACCTGAGATGTCTACATCTCCATTCTTCACCTCCTCCTGGTTGTAATGACTTCTCTTCTCCTCGGGGCGTCCTTCAATGGGGATGTTTCGCCTTGTGAATGGAGGGAATGCCGAGTTCTCACCTGGGAATCCTTCAAATGCATCGAGTAAGCTGTTTTTCATCTCCTCGGCTGCTTGGAAGAAGCGGTCAAAATGACCCTGGAAGTGGCTTTCAAGCTCTCCTATATCACTTCGAAGCCCAGGAAAGCTGAATGGTCCTCCTTCCCAATCGTGACTGCCTGCTTGAAAGGATCCTTTGCTCATCATCTCCGTCACGTCTTCTTCGGTGTACTCTTTGTTGGATTTCAGCACTTCAGTAGGCCTGTAAGAATAAATAATGCTATATATCAGACTAGTGCTGCCAGTAGTGACACAAAAAGTCAGCCAATTTGCCACGAAACTCGTCAAAGAAACCAGAAGAATTCAGTGACGAAAAGCTTTCCACCCAACACATTCATCCATAGACTTTAAGATGTGCATATGATTTTTCACTATTCACCTATCTAATCAAATGAAGCCAGCTAGGACAGAGGGAATCTGCTATAGCATATTTCGATCCCGATCAAGAGAAATAACATTTGGGAGGCAGAAAAAAAAAACCATCTTCATCACTTCCGCACAAACTATGAATCTTCATCAGTAGCCTAAATAGCAAATAAACTACGTTTTTAAAGGTGTCAAAGGCATAGCATAGTACACCCATTTGAGGCAGGGAAAGGTAATTGGATTTTCCTACAAGAACTTGGGCAGAGAAGATAGCAGTAAACGCCAACTCATGAAATTTCAACATACTCAGCAATGGCTTCACATGACAATGAGGACATAGATAAGATAAACGCTAAAACCGGCCCTGAATGAACCATCCTAAACAGCAACAAAATGGGGCTAGCTTGCAACTGATAATATCGAGCTCAGCTAGTCTTAAACAGCTTGAATGATACCGAAACAGAATATTCAAGCATCACAATTCACATGTATCAAAAGGGAGGAACTAATCTTCTACAATCATGGTCCGTTTCATTCAAGCGAGCAACCATTCTGCATATTTGACAAAGGTTTCAATAGCAAATAGCACTAAATTAGCACCATCTCCACAAACGCACCTACAGAAAAGGGAAAATTTGACCTATCCCCGTGATAACATTCTCAATGGCTATTGCTAAAAGTTCAGGGAGCCAATTAGGAAGTAAACAAAACCGAATTCATCGACAAAGCATCAGTTAACTAATACCTACGCGAGCAGATTTCTCCATAGAAATCTCTTCATCCATTCCCTCAAGTGCACAGGGAAGCAACAGAAACGGCAAATAGAAACAGAAACTGCAGATTATTTATCAAAACCGATCTAAGAGAGAAGTGGAAAGGAGGAGAGAAATTACTTTCCAAGGCACTCTCTGAGAACCTCCTCGGTCTTCTCGCACTTGCGGAGAAACTTCCCGGGCTCCACCTCCTCCGTCTTGCAGTTCGACCTCACCACTTTCCGCGTCGAGCAAACCTCATCGGACGACTGCTTCTTGTAGGCTTCAACTTCGCCGGCGGAGGACGAAGACTTGAATTCTTCCGATTCATCGTCGTCCTTCCACACCCATCCCATTTTCGGCGCGAATCACTCGCTCCTTTTTGCTGTGCTCGATCTGTAAGCCCCGGTTGTCTTCCCGCACAATCTAGAATTTAGCCACCGCCTTTTTTCTTCGCGATGTTTTTAACTTTTTATATTCCACGACCCTTGTTTGGGGCGGAGTTTTGAGCAAGGCAGAAACAATTTCCAGCGTACACGACGTCGTTTCCAACTTTACTTTGCACTTTGCAGGGATCAATCCTGTCCTAATCTTGGGTGGGGTGGGGTGGACAAATGGGGTTTGGTTGGACCCGAACCAAAATAATTTTCTTTAATGCTTAATCTGAACCAAAATCATTATTGGTGTGGTATATTCGGTAATCTCGATTATGTCTCTTCGGTAGACTTTTATCTCTTTAGACAGAGATTTCTAGCACCTTGGTTGGTCATTTTCAGGTGCTCATATGGTATGAAAGCAATTGAAGGAAGTTTCATCAATCTATCAAGAAACTACACTCGCTGGCGGAACTATCGTGGAGATGTTGGGTTTGTGTTTGTGTTTTATTTCCCCGTCAGTGTCGTGTCTTTGCTCCTCATAGCTTCTTCAGAGCGGTCCAAGTAGTGGCTTAATAGGCTCTTTCATCGTAGTCTGGTTGCATACAGAATAACGTATTTATTTTGAGTCAGTCTTGTAATTGTGTCGACTTTTTGTCCCATGCCCTTTGGGCTTGCCTTGGAATTTTTTCTTTTTACCTCTTACAATTCTGGCTAGATTTGAAGTTTATAGTAAACAACGAAATCAAAATATTGATTCGAATTTTAATATTAGTTAATACAATTCTCATATTTCAATCCTAACCCTGATTTAGGAGTAACTATGATTGTACAAACAACAATTAAAGATCGTCTATCTATACATTCTTTAGAAGATTGTCAACATCAAGCCCTGTTTCCAGCATCTCAGTATGCAACATGCAACCTTTTTTATACTCACTTAAGTTAGAACATGTTTTGCATTAGTTCTGTAAACTACAGGCAGAAAATGTAGGAGTAAGTCCAGATTGTTTCATGCTTTGTAACAAATCAAATGCCCTAGAGAGTTCTTTCCTTCTCAAGTGAGCACAGGTGAGGTGACTAACCCATAAATCTTTTCACTATCGAAGTTTCTCTTTTTCATGGTTTCCATAATCTCTAAAGCATCCATAATCCTATATAGTGATTGTTGTGCACATCATAGACACAGGGTGTCACTCGATTGTCAATGTCATGACCGAGGCCGTGACCATGACTTCCAAAGTGGTGTTGAATCATCGCTTTCCTCCGCTTCTCGACTCGTTCACAAGCATTGAGATTGAAACCTCAATCATGAGATCACGGTCGTGTTCTCAAAGTCACGATCGTGATGTTTCTTGCAGTTAAAATTCTTCTTGGTTGCAACTTGCAAGTCGACCCGTGAAACCTTCTGCTAGATTTTGCATCGGAGGACTGGTCACGCCCTAGAAGTCACATATGTGACATGTGTCAAACCTTCTTTTCTTATGCCTATGTTATGAAAACGTGTCCGATGAGCCCTAAATTGAACCCCAATAAAGTGTGAACTAGTAGAGGATCTAAAGCATCATCCAAAACACCAAGCAAGCATAAAACGTGACAAAGTAGGGTAGTTCTCTTATGGAAACCTCTCAAATCAACCTAACTCATGCTAAAGCTCATGGTTTGATGATAGGAATGCAATATGGCCTAGCACGATGATTTAGGCGTACAAATGCCTAGATAACAGAGGTTAAACAACACCAATCCAATACAAAGTAGCAAATCGACTCACCCGCTTGTAATTGAACCTCCACTTTCATTTGATGTTTGCTATTCCAACCTATTAATATATTATTATCTCTCTTAGTTAAATTATAAGTACGTGATAACAGCTCACATAATTCGATGAATATGCATCAACTAGATATAAACTCTGAGTTCAAATGAATCATAGCATCATACAACCATCAATTCAACAATCATGACTAGAGTTCGTCATACCCAAATGAGAAATAAGTCTAATACTTAGAGAAAAAAAGAAATGCATATGAGAAGATGAAGGACTTCATGGTGATGATGAGATTCTTCTTTCGATCTTCAATTTCCACTTCAATGCTAGATTCCTGAGCTCCAATGGTGGAAAATCTCCCCGAGGTAGCTCCAAGAACTTCCATAATCGCTCTCTAGGGCTCTCCCGCTCTCTGTTCTCTGTAAAAAAAAAAAAAAACCGGTCATCCTCTTCAAAAATTTGTAGACTCTTTTTATACCTGAAAGTGACAAAATCACGGTCAGGAATCACGATCATATTTTGAGGTTTCCGCCCGTGATTCCAAAACATGTTGTTTCATTTAGCTAGCTTCAGAATATTATACCGGGAAAGTCACATTTGTGATTCTTCATTGTCTTCCCATAACTTTCTTCTGGTGCCATTGCCCATTTTGTAAGGCCTTATAGGTGAGTTACATGGCTAGTCGTTCGAGGCATGGTAACTAGACTAGAAATAATTGTCCCTCCTCTATCCAAGGACTGCTCCTGCGCGATAGTCAACAACATCACATAGAAGCTCAAATGGGAATTTCAAGTCAGGAGCCACCATGATGAACGCATGTGTGAGTTTCTCATAAGAACTGAAATGAAAATATGCAATTTGCAGAGAAATTTGGAGACAATGAGAGGAATTTCCAGACACAAATAATTCATCCATGAATACCTCAATGATATCACATACTAGCTTTTCAAAAATGATCATCATACATTTCTGGAAAGTAACGAGGGCATTGCACGACCCAAATATGCCGATAAGCAAAGATATCGAAGGAGCATGTGAAAATAGTTTTCTCTTGATCTTGTGAAAGTTATACATACGGAAATAGTCCACATACCATCGAGAAAAGCAGTAGAATTCATGACAAAGTCAGACAAACACTCTTTTTGCAACCGCCCTTTATGCGAAATACTTAAGCCGCCTTTGTGCGAAATTATTATCAAAATTTCAAATTCCTCCCCGCTTGATGGGCTAACAGCAGTCCAAGCCCAATAACAAAGGGTGTTTGAAAACCAGCATATCATTTTCCGAAAGAAAATAAAACTGAAGCCAAAAAAATAAAAGTGGAGGGAGGAATAAGCAGCTTAGCGCCGCAATCTCGCCTTCATCACCGTTCCGCCTCCGTCCGTCTCTCGCCGTTTTATTTCGATTTCTCCGACAGTTCCTTCTCGCAAGCCGCTCTCTTATCGCCTGCGCTGCCGTTATTCAGCTGCCCTTACCTGATTTCTTTGAGTTAAGGTCCGGTTCTCCTTTAATCCGATCTCATTCACTTTGATTGTGTGTGAGACGCGTAGTGAAACTTATTGATAGCTTGGCCAAGTCATTTACTTGCAAGCTTATTAGGGTTAATTGCTTGCTGTTTGTGTTGTTTTCTTTTGCCTCGTCTCTTGTGCTTTCGCTTGCATCGAAGTTTAGGTTGAGGTTCTTTCTGTTCTTCCTATGGAATAGGGAAAGAAGAGGAGGTTTCGATGAGGGTTTAAGGCTGTTTCTGGGACTAAGTAGAAATCTTTTTCTGCTCTCTGTCTGTATTTGTGTAATTAGTTGCTGCCCTTATTAACTTCTACAGCAATTGGCAGGAAGTTTGTCACGGAGGACAAGGCCTGGACAAGACAGGAGATTGAGGAACTCAATACTTGCAATGGGGAAAAAGAAATCTGATGATGCTGGTGGTGCCGGGAAGGGTAAGGCTGCCACCAAAGAGGCAGCTACAACTGGGAAGAAAGAGAAAGTGTCGGTATCTGCCATGTTAGCGAGTATGGATCAGAAACCTGATAATCCGAAGAAAGGACCTTCGTCCAGTAAGCCGAAGCCAAAGCCAAAGCCAAAGCCAAAAGCTCAAGCCTACGACGACATTGATCTCCCTCCATCTGATGACGATGATGATGACTATGTCTCGGGCGAAGAGGGAAACCAGATGGATGCTCCCAAGAGATCTAACCAGCAGCAGTTCTTGAAGCCCATTGAGGCATCTGTTTCAGAGAAAGAGTTAAAGAAGCGGGAGAAGAAGGAACTTCTTGCTGCCCATGCTGCTGAGTTGGCTAGGAAGGAGGCTCTCAAAGATGACCATGATGCATTTACCGTTGTCATTGGAAGCCGTGCATCAGTCCTTGCCGGAGAGGAAGAAGGCGATGCCAATGTCAAGGATATTTCGATTGATAACTTCTCAGTGTCGGCACGTGGGAAGGAGCTTTTAAAGAATACGGAAGTTAAGATATCCCATGGGAAGAGATATGGTTTGGTTGGACCGAATGGGATGGGGAAATCTACACTTTTGAAGCTTCTTGCTTGGAGGAAGATACCAGTCCCCAAGAACATTGATGTGCTCTTGGTTGAGCAAGAAGTTGTTGGTGATGATAAATCTGCTCTACAGGCAGTTGTTTCCGCTAATGAAGAACTTGTTAGATTGAGAGAAGAAGTGGACATGCTGCAGAAATTATCTTCAGCTGGTGACGAAGAAATTGATGATAACGATGGCCAGGATGATGCAGGAGCCAAGCTTGCCGAGCTGTATGACAAATTGCAGCTGATGGGATCAGATGCTGCTGAAGCTCAGGCGTCAAAGATTCTAGCTGGACTAGGTTTTACCAAGGATATGCAGGCTCGTGCAACTAGGTCTTTTAGTGGAGGGTGGAGGATGAGGATTTCTCTTGCTCGGGCACTTTTTGTGCAGCCGACTCTGTTGTTGCTTGATGAGCCAACAAACCATCTTGATCTTAGGGCCGTCCTATGGTTGGAGGAGTACTTATGCAGATGGAAGAAAACTTTGGTGGTTGTCTCGCACGATCGTGATTTCCTTAACACAGTTTGTAATGAAATCATTCATCTGCATGATCTTAAGCTTCATACATACCATGGGAACTTTGATGGTTTTGAAAGCGGGTATGATCAAAAGCGGAAAGAAGTGAATAAGAAATATGAGACTTACGAGAAGCAGATGAAAGCTGCTAAGAGGACTGGGAGTAGGGCTCAGCAGGAGAAGGTCAAAGATCGTGCAAAGTTCGCTGCAAACAAGGATGCATCAAAGAGCCGAGCTAAGGGGAAAGTTGATGAGGATGATGTGCCTGCCGAAGCCCCAAGAAAATGGAGAGATTATAGTGTTGAGTTCCACTTTCCTGAACCCACTGAGCTCACACCTCCACTTTTGCAACTTATTGAAGTTAGTTTCAGCTATCGAAATCGGCCTGATTTTAGGCTTTCAGACGTTGATTTGGGTATTGATATGGGAACCCGTGTTGCCATTGTTGGACCCAATGGAGCTGGCAAGTCCACCCTGCTGAACCTGCTTGCTGGTGATTTGGTTCCTACTGAGGGGGAAGTAAGAAGAAGTCAGAAGTTGCGAATTGGAAGGTACTCTCAACACTTTGTGGACCTCCTCACAATGGGTGAAACACCTGTTCAGTATCTTTTGAGACTGCATCCAGAACAAGAAGGGTTTAGCAAACAAGAGGCTGTTCGTGCAAAACTTGGGAAATACGGACTACCCAGCCATAATCATCTTACCCCCATTGCTAAACTATCCGGTGGGCAGAAAGCTCGTGTTGTATTTACGTCAATATCCATGTCAAAGCCTCACATTTTGTTACTGGATGAGCCCACCAATCATTTGGATATGCAGAGCATCGATGCACTAGCTGATGCTCTAGACGAGTTTACTGGTGGAGTTGTCCTGGTTAGTCATGACTCTAGATTGATCTCTTCAGTTTGTGATGATGAAGAGAGGAGTCAAATCTGGGTTGTGGAAGATGGAACTGTGAAGTTCTTCGATGGAACATTTGAAGAATACAAGGAGGAATTGCAAAGAGAGATTAGAGCAGAAGTGGATGACTAATTTTGCAGCAGGTAAGATCTCATTCTTCTGTTGCCGTAATTTGCATGATGCCCATGTATCGTATGAAGATGTCACTGAGGCACGCCTGAACCATTTGTTTTTGCACTAGTTGAGATATATCAACGTAGCTTATATTGAATATACTATGAAGGTATCATGACTTTCTTGTTCAGACTAGGATATATATATATATATATATGGTGGTTACTTCAGCGCACTCACTTTTTTGGGTGCACTCAAAAGTGTCCATAATACATCAAATTTTGAACTTGTAATTAGTACTGTCAATCTATATGATGATATGACATAAAATCATAACAAATCAATCTATTATCCTAACCCCTTAACCTTCAATTTTGAATTCCAACCCAAAATCCCAAATTGTAAACCTAAACCCTAACCCTAAATCCCTAAATCCTTCGAATTAAAGTAAATTTTGAATGATTTTTTTTCAAATTCATGTGCTTCTTGTTCATAATATCATAAGCAACAATTGATACCGTTTTGACATGAATCCATGCTCATAATGACAATTATGAGGCGGGTACACTGAGTGCACCAAAAAAAGTGAGTGCACCGAATACACCACTATATATATATATATAAAAATAAGGACCTCCAGTCACTCAATAACTTCATTCTTTTATTTTGCTTTGTAACTTGTTATTGTTTCCTCTTGCTGTCGCAGAAACTAAGAAGCAGTTGTAGAGTAATGCGCTGGGTACGAGACGGCTGTTGGTTACCTTTCAACTATGAGCAGCTGCTCCACCCTTGTACATTGCATTTCTATGTGCCGAAGAGGAGAAGCGATTTTTTACCATACGGAGTGCAGAACATATATACCTGCTCAGAGGCCTACAATCCGGACAAACTAGTGAGAAACCCAGAACTTCTTTGCGTTCTTGTATACTCTGCAATTTTTCAGTCCAATCTTTACTCCAAGTAAGGAAAGACATGACTGATATACTACTATGCCTTCTTGATGAGTTGTTTTCTTGTTGTTTCTGGATAGTTGGGTTTTGTATGATTTGAATGAACAAGTGGAAGGCCGTTATTCTTATATTCTACATATAAACATATATTCCTATTACGAGGCACGAATCTGAATATCTCTGCAACTTTCTGCTTCATATTGTCATGGACTGTTGTATGTTCTCTAATAATGTCAAGGGAACTAGGGAAGGCCACAACATAAAAGTGGAAGTGGCTCACTGGTTTGAGTTTCAGTATGTCGTCTGTTTGTTAGAAGAGGTTGGGATTACATCGAACAGCTTCCTCAGCTTCCCCTGTTCGTGCAGCGTGACGACCTCATCAGCTCCCCCAATGTACTTCCCTCTGATGAAAAGCCGCGGCGGGATGACCCTTCCGCTGCCGCCGATCACCTTCCACAGCTCGTCCCTGAACCCCAAGTCCATCGCCACGTCACGCTCCTGGAACGCCACCCTGAAGATCTGCAGCAGGAACCGGATCGAGCGGCAGTCCTCGAAACGTCTTCCGTATGGACCTTAAGCTTGTGGTGTAGAGGATCACGGCCTCCGCTCCACCTGGCGGATACCTCGCCGCCGCTGCCGCCACCTGGGTGTCCACGTCATCATCACCGTCATGGGGTGCTTCTGCCTCTTTGGTTTCTGGAGTGGCGGTGGAGAAAATTGTGGTGGTGGTTGTTTTCTTGAGATGGTAAGTTTGATCTCTTACCATATCAATTACAATTGTCTATTCCTTATTTTATTGTATTCCAATGATCACTTACCATCTCAAGAAAACAACTGTCATTTTGTATTCCAATTGCAATTTTTTTATTGAGTTCAGATAACTACTGTCATTTTGGTTTTTGACTTTGTTAAAATTATTGTTTAATGATGTTGCCGTGTAATTGATTTTCCTTTTCTATATTAAGCTTTTGCCTAAATCAAAACAATAAAGAAAAGAATCCCACGTCCTTAATTAAATAAAAATCTTAAAAATTATTCAGGCCCATTTCGTGTAATTGATTTTCCTTTTTATATTAAGCTTTTGCCTAAATCAAAACAATAAAGAAAAGAACCCCACGTCCTTAATTAAATAAAAATCTACAAAATTATTCAGACCCATTAAACATTCAGACCCATAATTATACACAGCAAAAACAGAAACATGTTTTCTGCATTAAAAATTTAAAAAGGAAAAAGACAAAGGACCTCTTCCTCCCTTTGCGCAGAAGCCTGGAAAAAGTGAATGGGGTGGGTCTTCGCTGGGAACCTCCATATATTGATTGGAGGATTTGTATATGTATATTCTGGTTGAACAAAAATCATATTGGTATTGAACGAAAATAATATTTGTATAGAATCAAATACATATTCATATTAAATAAAAATCATATTTGTATTGAACATAAATACACATTAGAATACATATTCGTATTGAACAAAAAAATATTTGTATTGAACAAAAAACATATTTCGTATGTGTGATTTGTATATTCGTAATTTTCACAACTTTTATTCAAAATAATATACCACGTATTAAAAACCATATTCTTACTAAACACAAAACATATTCGTACTGATCCCAATTGATATTTGTACACAACAAAAAACATATTCAACATTTCCCAGAACTTGCATTCCTCACTCTCTCTCTCTTGTCAGCTACTTTTCAGTCTGTGAGCCCAAAAAAAAATAGCTTTTCGTCAGCTGCTTTTCTACATCATTCTCCACTGCTACTTTTTACCAACAAATCTTGACCCCTAATTTAATGACCCATTTTTATGACCGTTGGATGTAAGATGGAGAACCATCCTCTAAAATCCAAGTGGAGGACCATATCTAAATTCGGTCGAAGGTCATGGCTGCCTGCAATGGCAGGTATGGTGGAAATAAAGCAGCTTTGGGTTGTGATTATGGCTCAAAAAGGCACGCTTAATCTTACGCTTAGGCATGCCTAGGCGCAAGGCAATGGCAAAACGCCTCGCCTAGGGGTTTCGCGCTTAATTAGATACTGGAACACGTCAATGGAGTAAGGTGGAATATAAGTCTCTCCTAGACATTACTAGATGGAGCTAGGAAGTTAATATTAAAGACCAAAATTAACATCAGCTACGAAATCAATTTTCTATTGCAATATTTTCAATAGCTCAAGAACTTTGTAAGCTATTGAGCTATGATTCTATGTATTTGTGAGCTAAGTTCTTGTCATTAAGTGTTGAGTAAGTTGTTAATCATTTTAATTGAAGTGAGGAAGTGTTGTAGATTATTATTTCATTCATCATGCAGAGCGGATAGCTGTTTTTCTCCCAACGCCTAGGCACGCTTAGTCTTTGCCTAGGCGAGCTAGGCGCAAGGCAAAGGCTCAGCGCCTGCCTTACGCCTAACGCCTTTTTGAACCTTGGTTGTGATTGATCCTTGGCAGGTATGGTTTTTTGCTCCCCTCACGTTAACGAACCTCTTTTTGGGAGAGTAATGATGTAACTGATCGAGACCGCCAATCACTCCCAGTCCAATGAACATAAAAAGATTATGGGGTCGTTTGAATGAGGAATTGTAACGATAAATTTGACACAATTGTCTCGTTTTGAGACAATTGTACCAAATTGTCTCGTTTGCCAGCAAAAAATTTGGATGGATCAATCTGCCTGAGGTATTTTGAATTGATACATTTTGAGTCAATTTTAATTACCTGGAGTGGGGGCAGGTAATTCAAATTGACTCGTTTTAATTGCTTAATTTATAAAACGAGACAATTGATCAAATTGACTCATTTCTAGATTGAACGAACCCTATCTTTTTATCTTCTTGCCTCGTAACTACAATTTTCAGCACAGCAGTAATGCTCTGTTGACAAGGAAAAGATATCGTATAAAAAGCACAGAGCTTATTCAAACGAAGAAATGGTTGATTTGCTTTCCATCGGGTTTCGGGTAAGAACTAGAGTTGCATGGATATTGCCATATTGGATATAATAGTAAACCTTGATAGTGATGATCGCTAAAAGATATTGGACTCGGTTCAGTTCAGACTATAAAACAGCGGAACTCGCACGGATAGAAACCGACCAAGTGGCAGGCAAACACCACCAGATCTAAATTTACAATATCAACTCTGAAACCCATTTCTCTGCCATGTTGGAGTGAGGTAGGTACAGGTATAACGTGTGCTGGAAGGGGGGGTTTCTTTCTATCTACAGCAACCATATTGTGGAAAGTTTTCGGAACGAACTGAAATTTACATTTTGTTGAGACAGCTGCTACTCAATTTGAGTTCAACTGTCGGCAACAGAGGATCCGAACCCGATGGTGAATTGAAACGAAATGCAGGTCAGCTCTTTGTTCTTTGCATCATACATCTTCATTTGGATCGTGTATGAGCCCTTGCAAACAACCATTTCACACCATTAAGCAAGGAAACAACATAGACAGGTGTGAGAGCTCATGTATGGAAGTATAACAGGTTAACAGTGCTCAACACAGAACAATTGATGAGCAAGAGCGGAAACACATTCCTTATGTTCGAAATTGTGCGAGTAAGCTGTTCAAGAGCAGCAGAAGAAGAAAAAGAACTTACAGGCGGAGTGACTCCAGGAAGAATTTGTGAATGGGAAACCACGAATTCACCAGTGGAGACAGGGCAGGATGTCTCATCGCAAAGGTTCTTAGTCTCCGAATACACATGGAATATGAAGTAAGAAACATCAATCACCAGTTTTCCTCCGGTGAATGCCTTATCTGCAAGAATCAATCGGTCCCCAAAAGAGGGGAAAACAAAAAAGTTTAAAGGCAGTTTTTCACAAGGTGCGAATCATCCGATTCCCAACGACCAAACCAAGAACAACACTGGGTTCCTTCCGATTCATTCAGAACTCTCACCTGCTGTGGCTTTGATGGTGAAGGTAGCAGGCTTGCCCCTAGTGATCGGGTCGGGAGTGATCTCCACTCCATTCACAGTAACATGGCCAGAATCAGCCTTCTTATCTGGATCGCCACAAAACCCTTTCAATTAGGACGCAGAAAGAAGTACGGAATCAAGACGACCTGACTAGGGTTCGGTTCAATACGGGGGGATGGTAGAATTTACATACCGCAGTACCGGAAGTTGGCGGCCTGAATCGACGGCGCCAGCAGACAGAGGGACAGCGCGAGGGAAACAATCAGCTTGCAAGGAATCATCTTCTCCATTCTCCAGAAGTGGCGATTAGGGTTTGTCGAGTCAGGTAGATTTAAGGATTTCGCGTGCTTTGCCGGGCGGAGAGCGGAGTTGGGTAGATGTTAATTGTTAGCAGGTAGGTGAACGGAGAAGAATATGGAACGACTTGAAAGCTCGACAGTTCAGTTGGAAGGAAATCACGGGATGTGTTTCGTCCGTCGGATTAAGTTGGTGAACTGTTATGACGTTTTTGACGGTTGAGATCGGACGATGATGGAGCTAGAGAATCATGGGCAGTTATGTTGGTTGTTTACTCGTTGGATGAGCATGACCGGTTAGGTGGATTTTGGCTGGACTGGGCAGAAAGAATAGGGAAGCAGCGGCGGAGAATCTAAGCATTTTTTTTTAATGGTAAATCTAACCAATTCTTAGGCTGGAAGCAAACGAGGAGAAAATTAGAGGTTGGTATTGTTACTGGTTTACTTCTTTTTTTTTTTGTTTGTGGTAACACTGTTTTACTAATTTTTAATCAAGAGATGCATGTTTAAATTTATTACTAAGTACCTAATAATAAAAATAAATATTTATCACTCTGAAAAATACTCTTGAATGAAAGAGAATGGATAGGAATGACATGTAAATTATAGAGATTCCCCCTGAACTGAATAAGTAAGGCCCCGTTTTTTCTTGAATATTTTTCTCATTCAAGAAAAAACAAGGGATTTGTCATCTCCCGTTTGAAGCCTCACGTTCTGAGAATGGGAATTATGATGTTCAGTTTGTCATTAATCATAGGTACATGTAGGTAGACTGCGCAGTCAGAGGCCTTGACGCTACATAGAGCATGGCTTAGCGCTTTCGCGCGTGGGTAAGGTAAGGAAAGTGGCCACCAGAGAGGAAGCCAAACCAACCGGCCTATTAAGCGCAGCTAAGCTAATATGCGCCGGAGAAAGACAGGTGTCAGAGGTAAGCTTTATTCGGCCCGGAGCATTGATTCCCCATAACGAATAGACTAGCTCTATCTCTCAATTGCCTATCCTGTGCTCAGAAGCTCCCAATTTCTTCTTGCTTTTACACACTGACTGGACCGTCCCTCTCCTTTCAGTCGAGCAACTTCACTCCTCTTTCGTAGCCAAGTGTAGTTGATCTTGAGTGGCAAAGATGGATCAGAGAAAATCGCTCAAGGGGTACTACAAAGGTGAGGGGTGAAAGAGATCAATCAACAAGTGAGTTTCGGCTTCCTTCCAAGAGCTAGTGCGCTTAGAAAGGTTGTAAGCTCGGGGTGCTGTGTGCTACCTATAAGGTTATTCATTATATGATATGATGTACTTTCGAGCAGAGAGGAGCTTTCTGCTCATGGACGTATCGCTCAAATCATGACATCTGGTTCAGCCTCATGAGGAATTGTATGCAACAGTGGCATGTTTCGGTCCTCTTCCCCATTACTTAGAAAAAGCAAGCCACCAGAGCTTTCTTTTTCCCACACGAAAGAGTGGAATGCCCAATGTGCTAAGTAATATATGTAACTGATCACGACCCAAGGCTTTTGTGAATATGTCTGCAAGTTGTTGACCAGTAGGAAGATGAGCGGTGGAGATGACCTTAGCACGAAGTTTTTCACGTACAAGATGACAATCGATTTCGATATGCTTGGTGCATTCATGTTTGAGGTATGCCCTTCCGGTGGGTTGTTCTCTTCTCTGTCTTTTCCATCCAGTGCACGTGCGTCAGAAATTCTTCATTCCTAAACTACCTCTTCCTGTTCGCCCAACGACTTTTTGGGTATTAATTCTTAATGGAATCTATCCTCAGAAAAGGGCAAGGAAGAAGACAAGTCCTCGATCCTTCTTTCCTTCTTCGGAGGGTTGGTTTGCCTTCTCATCCAACTTGAGATTGGCCCGTTTGTAAGCTCAGGAGGTGGAAAGCCATATGCCACGTACATGGAACCGCACTCAGAGGCCTGTTTTGCGAACGAAAAGGCTCGTTTAGACCCCTTCAAAGGTGATTGGTTATCTTAAAATTCTAGGGGGCTTCTTCCTTCCGGTCCGATACTTTCCAGACACACAGAGGGGTTAGAGCAAAGAACTGAAAATCCTTGTGTCAGTGGTTCGAATCCACTTCTAAGCGGGCGAAGGGTTCAAAGGACTGATACCTAACTCGAGTATCGTAGGACCCCACTCAATGATAAGATATGTCCATGAGATTAGGTATGAAATGGGCCATACCAAATTCTTGCTTTCAGAAGTCCTAGTGGTAGGGCTCCTCATATGGTGGGACTCCCTGACCCGTAGATGATGTATTTACATAATACATATAATTAGGAGAATTTGTCATTTTTTGTTTAAAAATGGAACACAATATGTGTACAAACACCAAACACAAGTACCATAAGAACATCATCATTCACAAACATAAAAAAAACATAAAATATAATCATACAAATAATTCGAAAATAATTAAACTACACTTCTACGTTGTTAACATAAAATAACAATTCCAATACTAAAATTTCAATGCACAAAATTATAAATAATTAAATGTCTTCATCCAATTAGTGAGTACCAACAAGCAAAACATCAAACACATCCACCGCAAGATCATCATCATTTACAAATACCAACTAAACAAAGACTACTAGTCTAATATGGCGTGAGGTTTGCTCTTTCCACTCCAAAGGGAAGTCAGAGAGAGTTGACTTTCAAGTTATGACTCTTAAGCGTATTTGAGAATTTAGATGGTGGGTTGTTTACAATAACATACTGTTTGGTATAAATGAATTCCATAAGTTTTGAAGAATTCATTTTGAAATGAAATATTTTTGTGTTTGATATTAAAAAGAATTCATTTTCAATTCTAAATTTTGAATTCAACGGAATTGGAACTAGTTAAAGTAATTCCTAGGAATTGAGATGGAATTTCCAAATGAATTCCACAAGTATTTACTAATTATAATAGAATGACATGAGTATCCTATTTTTATTAACTAAATTACTTATACATATGACATACCAAACACAGGATTTCATTTGACAATAAATTCTACACGACACTTCATTTTATTTCTAAAGATTTGAATATTACATACCAAACATAGAATTTCATTTGACAATGAATTCTACATATTAATTCATTTTACAATGAAATGAATTCTAGATTCATTTGGTACCTGTTGGGTCTAGTATTAACCCGCCTAATACTGGCCCAAGCCCACCACAAACCGTCTCACCTTGGGCCCAAGCCCATTTTAGGGTCCAGTACACTGGGAGGCGTCTAGTCCACCCGGGGGCGCCCTTTACCCGAGGGCATCCACCACCGGGAGGCGTCTATTCACCGGTAGGCGTCCATCAACGGCAGGCGTCCAGTCTACCGGGGGGCGTCCATGACAACGGGAGGCGTCCACTGGATGCCTATGACTCCTATATAAGGAGGCCAGACCCTCCAAGCAAAGAGACTTCTCTCCCTTCCCACACTTTATCACTTGTGGTTCTCTCTCTAAATCCTATCTATCTCTACATTTCTCTCTACACTATCTTATACCCTCTTCTAACTTGCGCGTCAGAGTGTAGATCACGAGGGCCGCCTCCGACTCTCCACAGGATTCTTCCACTCCCGAGGAGATCAGACGAGGGAGTCCGGATCAAGGTTCCACACTAATCCCCCGATACTAATCGGGGTCAAACAATACCAAATGGTCTCTAAGTGTAAATTGAAATGTTTGGAATTGCGATTTTGATTGATTTTACTTTACATACGGAAAACTTTTCCCTACCATTTTATCATAAAAGTCTTAGTTTAGGGTTCATTTATGTAATTAACCCCTTCGTGAGTTTATTAATCAAACTATCCCCCGACGGAGGGGAAAACTGCAAAAGGACAAATCAATGACGGCAGCAATGTAATCCTGGAACCCTAGAAATTTGGGGGAAACTGTCTGCCCACGACCGCCGTGCGACGTGGTAGCGGCGCTGCTGGGTCTTTGGCGGTCACTCCGTCGTGTACGATAAACTGAACTGCTCAACATTTAAAAGAAGTACACAACTCGCGGAAGCAAACCGACGTCAGTACACAGCTGCGTGGGCAGTCTTCTCAATCGTCTGCGATGGAGCTACCGGCCGGAACTCCGGTCCCTGTGTACGAAGCACTAGCGGTTCTTCCCCTTTCTTCTTCCGCCCCAACATCACCATCAGCCGCCACCACCGCCGAAGGCCACGTGTTGCCTCAATCTCCCGAGCCTTATACAGTTTTGCGCAATGAAGTTGCCCCCGACGAAGTTCCTTCTGCCAGCGTGGTGAAGCTGGAGGCTCCCGATTTCTTCTCTCTTGATGTTTGTGACGATGAAGTTGAGGAGGCAGAGTTCAGTACGCCGAGTGAGGAAGCTGAGTTCATCGGACCTATGGTGACTGGAACGGCTGAGCCGCTGGTTGAGTCGGAGCCCAGGCTGGAGAGTGGATGGTTTAGAGGGAATGGCAGGTTTAAGAGCCCCTTGTTGCAGCTGCATAAAGGTGAATGCTTCAGTTAATTTCATCAGACCTTTGCCTGAAGATCGTGTTTTGTCGGATTTGATGTGATACAGGGGAACTAGCTCTAGTTGCTTTGTGTTTTGTGCATTTCATTCAGTTACGTGAAAAGTTCAAATCTTTTTAAGTCTGATCTTCATGGCTTTTCGTTCAATTTCCCATTTTCTCAATCAAGGTTCTATGTTTTGTATGGATTCTTGTTTCAACTTCCTAGAGCTCTTGCTTGTTGGCAACTACTTACTAGAACGTGTTTAGCTTTCCTACGAATACTTCAGTACTTGAACATTTGCATGCTCTCTTACAGGACTTGGCTCATTGATCTCATTCTTTCTTCTGAGATTCACTTCACTCTTCACTACGCCAGAGGATTCTGCAATAGTTTCTAGGTTCTTATGTTTTTCTGATGCTGTGTAGTAGTTAACTATTAACTTGGAATAAGTAACTTGCTGATGTTTTTGGTCTGACTTCCTTTTCGACGGAGGTTTTAGCGAGTGTTCACTAACCTGGGCTGATGGCGTGCATGTTGCAGAGATAGTGGATTTCTGTGATTTCTTGTCTCCTACTCTTGAAGAACAAGCTTCACGTAGAGCAGCAGTGGAAAGTGTTTGTGATGTTATAAAATATATATGCCCTCGTTCCAAGGTAACTGGTGGCTCTTTGTGTTAGACTGTTAGTATGCACCTGAAAAAACGGAGTTGGATAGATTACATTAGTATATGTTTACTTGACCAGGAATTGGCGGCTCAGTTGTCTAAAAGTAGGAGCAAACTTTTTCCAAAGACTTGCCTAAAATTTTAGTGTGCAATATGGATTGCCTAATTGTGTAATGTGGCAATGATCACTAGAAAATAAAAATGATAGTTCCTCTAGTTGTGGTTGCTTTTTTACAAAGGTTAGTTTCTAATGTTGTTTTGTAGGTGGAAGTTTTTGGGTCTTTCAGGACTGGTCTTTATCTTCCGACAAGCGATGTTGATGTATGGAGTGTGGAATAGTCCCTGACATTCTGTGTTCATTATTTATTATGGCCAGATACTATAACAACTGATTAAGTAACTGGTTTAAATCATAGGTTGTGATTCTGAACTCGCATGTTGTGAGCCCGCAAACTGGTTTACAAGCTCTTTCCAGAGCTTTGTCTCAAAGAGGAATTGCAAAGAAGATTCTGGTATTGCTCCTTTGATGTATAAATCTATATGTCAAGATGAGACACGAATTAAGAGAACATCTAATCTGTTTCTTTTCTGGTCCTTCAGGTCATTGCAAAGGCTCGTGTGCCGATCATTAAGTTTGTAGAAAAAAGAAGTGGCATCTCATTTGACATTAGGTGTGGTGCCTCATCTTTTACATTGGTACTGTGAAAAATTACCTGATGAAAGCCTTCTCGATCTTTCTGTCTTAGCAGTGTCTTGTAAATGCATCAATTTATCTGCAGAGATATCATTTAGAAACATTTTGCAAGTGATTGTAGTCGTTTGATTTGTTTGTGTAATTGAAGTGTCAATGGAAAAAAGTTTAGATATTACCATTTTTGAAACACCTGATCTGTCCAATGATCACTTGAGATGGGACTACACAATTTGGAGCCTTGCGCAAGTGGAAAAGCGTTGGCCTAGTGGTAGATGGAAACTATGAATGTGTTCTTGTTTGTTACCTTGAGACGCACATTGCCCAGCAGAACAAAGATGTGAGTGTAGTCCAATGTCAATAAGTTGATTTAGCATTGTCCCGAAAAACTGAAATAGTCATGAAAATATTTAGAACAACAATATGCAAATGGTTCAAAGCCACTTGGAAAGGTAACCATGAATCTTACTCTAATATTGATGTGGAAAAGGACAGGGGGTGTTTTCTCTTTATAATATAATGACCGTTATAATCTTGTTTATTTTCAGTTTTGATGTGGAGAATGGTCCAAAAGCTGCTGATTTTATTCAGGTTCGTTGTCTCCTTGGTATGTTGCTTGTGGTTGTGTTGCAGATTATCTTTCTCATGCTGGGACCTCTCTTCCTCTTTTTTTTTCTTTGCCTTCTGGTTGTTGCAAGAGTGTGGTTGCTTTTGCTGTGTTCCTATGGATGAGTGTCTTGACCTGTTTAGATTTCTATATTCAAGTGACAGTTAGTTATCTCTGGAGATAATTTATGCAAGCTTATGCTTATGGTTCACGATCAACAACTTGTATATCTCTGAAGAGCAAGCAATAGGTTTTAAACTGTTGATGCTATTCTAGGATGGAACTCAAGGGCCTCACTACTTGACTAGTAAAGTTGTAAAAAGTTTTTAATGCAATCATCTTACTTGCTTCTTTGACTACATAACATTCCATGGAGTTTAGAAAATCCTCAGAATTACGTGGTTAGAGTTCATACATTCCCCTGATTCTGAAAAATGGAAAATAAGGTGAATTTAGGGTTTAGCCCATACGTTATCTTTAGTGTCTAGATGAGAAGCCCAGAATACTGGAGGAATCCATAACCTGAGTTCTCAGGAAGCATTGTATATATTATTCTGTTGGCTTCCAATTTCAAATTCGGTCCTTCTATCTTTTTGCTCTTGTGTTAGATGTTTATGATTTCATGCCAACTGTCTGTTCACCTTTTAGGATGCAGTAGCACGGTGGCCTTCTTTACGACCATTGTGTCTAATTTTGAAAGTGTTCTTACAACAGAGAGAACTCAATGAGGTATTGAAGTGATACCTATTTTGTAATTGAATATTCAAGTCATGTTGCAGATGTTATATTTTTCATCTTACTCCGTGTAGACTGCACAAGTCATCTAGCTGACCTTTTCTCTGAAATATGAATCATGCATTATCTTTTTGCTTCCTGATTGATGAATCCTAGAAATTTGTGCAGGTGTACACTGGTGGGGTAGGTTCTTATGCGCTACTTACCATGCTGTTGGCTGTGTTAAAGGTAACTAAATGCAGCTTTCAGGTAGATGATTAATGAAGCACATATAGGCTCTATGGTAACTTTTGCTGTGGGGTGGATTGTGCTGTGAACTTCATAGCATTCTGCGTCTTTGCTGAGAATGTTTATGTTTTGGTTAAATCTTGCTCTTTATAACATATTAGCATATTGTTTTTTATTTTATGATCTTATTGTGATATTGGTGTGACTCTTCATCCTTTCATGCTTGCAGAATCTGAGTTTGGATCGTTTGTCTCCAGAACATAATTTGGGAGTTCTCTTGGTATGTTTTGTCAAGTAAAAGAGATTTTATATTATCTAAAAATATTACAGGAAAATGTGGTGGAGATCGTTAATACTGTACACTATATGTTGGGATGTAACCTTACTGGCAAATTATTTGGATGGCAGATACACTTCTTTGATCTATATGGCCGCAAATTGTGCACCAGCGATGTTGGTGTTTCTTGCAATGGATTCTTTTCTAAGCGCGCTAAGGGGTAAAAAACAACTTATTGATTTGAAACATCAAGAGGTCACAAGTCTCTTCCATTCTGTTGGGTCATTCTTTAACTTGTGCAGTTCCCTTTTGGTTCAGGTTTATGAATAATGGAAGGCCATTTCTTATTTCCATAGAGGATCCACAGGTTTATACTAAACTTCCACTTCTATTAGCTGGGTCCCTAACCCAGCACGCCACCTGGGAGATTTTACTTGATGTTATAAGCTGAATTGCATATTCTGGGTCTCTAACCCTTTCTAATTGCTCACAGGCACCTGAGAATGACATTGGCAAGAGTTCCTTCAACTATTTCCAGGTTTGTTCCGCTGTGGTGTTCTCCCATTTGCTTTTCAATTTGGCACTGGTCAAATCAAGCAGCATGCCACCTGTAGATGCTATGAGCTGAATTATTTGTTTGCTCTGCTTTCCAGGTTAGATCAGCATTTGCCATGGCCCATTCAACTCTGACAAATCCAAAGACAATCCTCGGCTTGGGCCCAAACAGGAGCATTCTGGGCACCATCATTAGACCAGATCCAGTGCTGCTGCAGCGCAAAGGAGGGCAGAACGGGGACGTGACTTTCAACAGCTTGTTACCTGGAGCCGGGGAGCCATTGCAATCGCAATACGAATACCAGGAGATCATGTGCAATTGGCAGTTGGACGACGAGGAAGCATTGCCTCGTGGGAATGGTGGGGTTGCGGGGGATCTGTCGTCTTCTGGAAAGAAGAGGAAGTTGGCTTCTTGCAGTGACGGCAGGAAGTTGAGCAAGAAGAGATCAAAACAAGAGAATGGTGGCAGTGACGTTAAGAGGCTCAAGGACAGATCACCGAGCAAGAAGAGCTGGACGGAAGAAAAGCGATCATCAAAGAAGAAAGCACGTTGGAGACGTTCCAAGAACGGCTCGTCAAATGGTCCCTCTCCTGGTTCTTCGTGATGCAGTTTTCCTGTTGTTGATGGACTCGGTTCAGTCTCACTGGTGTGTTGCTACCTGCAGCATCATGTGGAAGTGTGCCGGGCTGGCATTTTACTTGCAGCTCTCTCTTGGTTAGTGTCTAATTTAGTTTTCTAGGTGACAGGAAACCAAGCTTTACTAGCTTAGGTTGTATGTGTAAAAAGAGTTCTGATTATGGTTTCAGTAATTTATATAAAATATGGTCAAAGCAAAACTAGAAGAGAAAAAGAAAAGAATGAGTAATCAGATAGAATTGGCCTGGTTGGCTCTGCTTTTTCTTCCATGATATCAGCAAATCTAAACCTTCAGGAGTCCATTATTTCCCCGTTGGGATGACGATTTGAATTTGACAAGCGTTGCTAACTGCTAAGTCTGTTGTGACCCATTTTGCACCGGTTTTACTACCCTAAGTACGGAATGATAAAACTCTTCCAACACTACATCATCGATATCTTGTGTTGGGCCATTGATGTACTACTGTAAGTACTACTCCAAAAGGCATCGATAGAATAGAAATACTTCCAAAGGTTATAAAATGCACAAAGGGACGAATAATAAGCAAAACCATAGTGAAATGGTTAAAAATGCCTGAAAATAGCGTGAATGTTGCTAAGAAAAGTGTATGATACACAATTTTTTTGAAGTGTCATAATTTCCATTTCCTCTTATGATAAAATGCTGCTTCTCTAATCTCACTAATCCTCTTATTCCATTAGTAAAACTTTTCTCGACCAACTAGGAATCTTAATTGCATAAGGATATCCTAATAGTTATCCGATTAACGTGGTAATCCTTATTGTATAAGGAATCCTAATCTTACTCGGATGAGTTAACCTTCCTCCTATCACCTCTAGATCCTCCTCATCATGTCCATGATGTGTGATCCATTGAACAAGCTTGTTTCATTGGCAATGAGCCTGTGGTCATAGAAATTGAGTGCTGCATAGTAGTACATCAATGGCACCCAAGTCAACAAGGGGGAAGGAACTTGACCATCCTCTTGTGCACATGTTGTGAAGTATGTATTTCTTGTAACACTATATCATGATGAGATCCAAACAATGTATATGTAGTGCTTGTTATAGATCAATCTTTGCACAGTTACCATGTCTACTTAGTTCAAGCTCAAATGAATCACATAATTTGGCATGGGGTTGACCAGCCACTTCATAAACATTATCCATTGAAGGGCCCAACAATATCTTACTTCTTTACACAAGAGGAACAAACTTTATCTTATTATTGCCAAATCCATTTCATGCTTCAGGTCCGCAAACAAAGACTACCCACTTGATGAACTTCTTAAGGCACCAGACAAAATATCAAAGTAAAACTCTAAACTCTAAGATGTAAGTAACTCCTTACATGATCAAGCCTAAGAACACGAAAGAGTGCAAGGTAGACTAAGCAACCATTTGAATCAAACAATCGTATTAACCAAATCATCGAGTTCACATGGTTAGAACCTCTAGGGTTCTCATACCTACTCAACTATGGAACTTAGCCAGCCATGGAGAGAGATTCCTAGATGTTCATCAATGGAAATGAAGACTCCAGGAGGCCACAGGGATTGGCGGCTAGAATAGAGAAATAAGGCCCTGGGGCGCCGATTCGCCGCCGACTTTTCCTAGTAGGTGGCGTCACTCTAAGTCAGGAGGCTTGCTCTGACGGTAGAGTAACGACCCTTCCTTAACCCTCCCCTTTCAAACTCTACTTCTAGAGCTCTATCTATAGATCTTCGATTAAGCTTTCCGAGGAGGAAAACTTGCCTCTTTTGTGTCATTCGGCCAATCAGAGCACTCCAAACACGTGGCCAGCAAATCTAGATGCTCCATGATAACTTCCTAACAAGTAGACAACTCTCCCAAACAACACTATGGCGCCTTATCTCTTCACTAAAACGGCGTCCCAGATGCCATTTTACCTTGACGTCAGTCTGCGAATCCTAACTCCAGCAACTTGGGCTCGATGTCGCCTACAGCTTCCAAGTGGCCGACTAGGATGCTTTGCCCTGGCAATGCACAAAACGCTACAAAAAACGCATTAACAGTATAAAAGCAATAATTGGGTTTCCAGAACGCACTTGACGCAATCAATAATTCAACGTATTATATAAAAGCAATCCTTGGGTTTCCGGCACGCACTTGATCGCACTTTGAATATGCCAATACAAAACTTATCATATATATAATATTTGAAAGGTCAATCATTCTTATTTAAATACGTGTTATTTTTCATACCCGATTAACTATTATACTTAATTTACTATTTTTCTTTCCGATCCAGGATGGATCTCGGGACCTACCCTCTGACCCTCTCCTCTGCCCCTGTCTAGAATATATACTTTCACGCGTGATCAGCAACCTGCCTGGAGGTAGATGACCAAGAAGCAACTATTCGTGTATATATATGATCCATCTATATGCATAGGCTGAACCATCATCGACAACAAGTGTACCTTGATCCTTTTTTACCATGTAAAGAGAGGATATTGTGGATGGTCCAAAATAGCATTGTTTATGTTTTCTTGAATTTTATGGTTGTTTCCAATATCTCAAAGTTCCAATCTAAATTAGTCCAGTTCATGTATAAATATCTCAAAGTTCTAATATTCCTTGAAAATAACAAGCAATATTAGAGTGACATTGCGAATGGTGTGTTTAAATGAGATAGCAATGAAAGTGCATTTATGTGTTTGAGTTTGCACACACCAATTTTCCATGAATCGTGAAGTAGAATTGTGCATGCCATTTGTAGAATCGAACAAGTTTTGTGCCCACTTGATGGGTGGCAATTACCATTGGTTTATTATTTGTCATTTTTCTGTAATAGTTTGGGGCTCCTACTTCTTTTTATATAAATTTATTGTCAGCTAAAATACATGGTTGGTCACTCGAATTACATAAAATTTTCACGTTTGTCATCAAAATTATTTTTCTTTCTTATTAGTCATGACTAACTTTACAATTCGTTTCACCGCCAGTCACCGAACTTCAGTCATACTCCGTTAACACCATCATAATTTTGATGATGTGGCAAATGAGACTGCTGACTAGGACGTTAACTTAGTGACATGTGAATTAAAAAAAGAATGGAATTGTCATGTATCACGGTGACACATGGTTGAACGATTTTTATCTAGTTTAGTAATTTCATGATATATATATGAAAATGTTACATGAATACGAGATTTTGACCTAATATTTCAACTATACATATCAAGTCAACGTTTTTACTTAACAATACTATTCCCAGATACAGTAGCAGGGGCGGAGCCAGGATTTAATCGGCGGGGGGGGGGGGGGGGGGGGAGAATTTTCTTTATACGTTACAGCAAAAGAGGAAAAACTAGTAATAAAAATTATTTTAAAAAACGAATTATTATTATTAAAACTCAAAACTTTTTCATATGAAGTACACTACAAATCATAAAAACTATAATGACAATAGTCGAATTAGCTAATAACTAAAAAAAAATGCTCACCTCAAGAATCGAACCCGTGATCATTGGGTCATTCTACATTGCCAATTCAACTAGGCAAATTCAGATTTTATGTTAATATCTGCACGCTTTTTTATTCAATACTTTTTTGTTTATACGTATTATTCTAAACCATTTACACGTAAGTTCGAGATTCTTAGGGGGGCCCTTAGGGCCAACATAGCTCCGCCCCTGTACAGTAGTAAGCATACAAAATGTTGTTATCATTATGCTAAAATGAAATATAAGTGTATTAGTTCATATATTCATGATAGTTGCATACAAAAAATAACATTATATTCTTGGTTTTTTAGAATACGAAAGAATATTATTCTTTATTTTCTCGTTTTTTATTTGAAATGAAGATATGATATGAAAGTTAAATACTATTTTAGATTTTGTAACAAAATTATTTATGCTTTTTACTTTATTTTTTATTCATGATTCTGTTCAAACATTTGTAAATGATTATTAAACATATTATGAAGTAAAAATTAACAGATTTTATTTTTTAGTTAGAAATGCCCTTTCTTTGTCTCTGCTTGCGTTGAGCAGTTTTGATTTTTGCGCTTGGCTCCGTTCGGAGTTCTGAACGTTGTATCTTTGGTGTAGTTGGTAATGCAAGCAATATTTGGTTAAATTTATGTTAGTTGCAAATGATTTTCCACTATGGATAGAAAATATAATATACAATTTATACATGAAAATTTTCGTAGTGTAGTTTATTTAGAAGCTAGAAATACTTTCAAATTTGAGTACTAATTTTATTCTGAATAATAACATCAAATAGAGCTTACTCTATTGGCTAAACTATTGACAAATAATAATTTGATGTCATAGGTTCTAGGTTCAAATCTTAGTAATTATGTAATATATATATTTATTGGTTCAGACTAGTGTATGCCAAGCGTACGCTTGCCTTACCGAATCTTCGTTGAGTTTTGTTATTTAGACCATGAATTAATCGGAGTTTGAGGTAAGATACTGATAACGATGTAATTGCACATGTTTGCGCCCCTAGTTCTTATCCGTTTGAGGGGCATATTCGTGTGTTGTGGCCTATTTTATGCTAGGTTGTGTTCCTTTGTCCCATTTCAGGTCCTAGCACATAAAGTGAAGCATAGGCGCAAGTTTCAAGTCAATCAGAGATCAATTGACGATTCGAGAGAGGAAACTCGGGCATGACCTGAAGAAGAATGGATTTCTACCTCACTTTATGGACAAAGAAGCGTGCAAGCTTGTTATGAAACGAAAGAGGACGAGACTACGAGCGTCTGGGATCAAACGGCAACTGATTCGGAGTCCGGACGAGGGAGAAACCAAGCATTAAACAGAGGCTGAGCAAGCTGCACGGGCAGACCAGGGAGGCTGCACGGCCGTGCACGTGAGCAATATGGCCGTGCGCCTTATGCCGAGGATACGCACGGGCAACCCCTGAAGCTTGCACGGCCGTGCACCCTGGCCGTGCGAGAGGGCTGAAGTTCGACTAAATGACACGCTGCGTTTTGAGTTGCACGGCCAGAATGGTGATATGCACGGCCGTGCACCCTGGCCGTGCGAGTCGGGATTTCCTGGTTTTAAGCCAAATTCCGAACCAAAGAAGAGGAGAGCTGGGTTTTGGATCCCAAACACCCAAGGGACGAACCAAAGAGAGAGAGGGCGATTTGAGGGCATTCTTGGAGTGGAGTTGGAGGATTTCTTCGCCTTGGAAGCTCGAGGAACAAGCCCGGACTTGAAGACTGATCATCTGAAGATTCTTACTGCAGTCTCTCTCTTCTCTATGGAGTAACTTCCCTTCACTTAGGTTTTGAGGAACCCTAGCTATGTTTGTTTGATTGGATGATTGTATGAGTACTCTGACTGGATAATCTTGAGTTCATATTCAATCTATGCATGTTTTCATGATTCAATTCTGCTTTAGTCGAGATTATTGATTCTGCTTTGATTCTATGAGAGGGAATACCTGATTAGGTCAATAGAGCACCATAGATTGATAGTAGTGGATCGATTGCTTTAGTCGAGGGTTGATTCACTGCTTTGTATCGATTGAGAACCTCTTTCGATAGAGGGAGTCTAGTTCAGAACGCCTTGATCAGTTGTTCTAGAGAAGGATACGTCCCTCTAGACAATTGACTCAAGAGGGCCTTGTTCCTTTAGTCGAGACTCAAGGTCTAGTCAAGGATTCTCCGCATTGTGAATGAAAGTGAAACAGGTTAGAGATCATCAATCATTAATCTGGCTAGTGGCTAGGGGGAATCATACCTAAGTGAGTTCCCAACCTGTAATTAGATTAACTTTAACTGTAGTTTGCTAGAGTAGTTTTAGTTCTTTCATCTTAATCTGGTTTGCTAAATAATAAACTGAAGCTGAGTAATAGTAACTCTAGAGACCCGTGGATTCGATATTTATCACTTGAGCCACTATACTGCAGTCCCTTCCATTGGTTACACTTGGCCATTGTTAGGTGTTGTGTCATAGCGAGTCAAGTTTTTGGCGCCGTTGCCGGGGACTTTCTAGAGTATTAGGAAAGGCAGAAGTTTGTTACTTTAGCGTTTTTCTTTTCTTTTCCACCCTTGCTTTTCACTTGGGTGTTTTTGTTTTTGTTGGTGCAGATCTGAATCATGGATCCTAATGGCTTCTCCAATCATTGGGGGTATCCACCACCATCTGGGTGGTATTACCCCGAGACTCCCTGGAGCAATCAAGGCGGAGAAGACTATGGATTCGGGTTCCAGTACCAACCCCCCTACTACGGAGAACAACCGGACCCGTGGGCATATCAAGAACAACCTCATTATCAAGAAGAATTTCTCCCACAACCAGAAGGGCCATCGGCGCTGGAGTTACTCATGGAGCAGTTTGCTCGAGACTGTGAGAGAACATGCTCCAGGATGGATCAGTGTGTCCAGGCCTATCGTGAAACAGATGAGATCCTCCTGAGCCTTAAGAAGAGCGTCGATGATCTTGAGCGATCTTGGGCGCAACCTGCTCCAGATCACCCTTCTGCTACCATACAAGAAGATGAGGAGGAAGAAGAAGGCTACAAGGACATTGTGGAGCACACTGAAGTTGTCACGGAGAGCTCCCGTGATGATCATGATCAGGAGTGTCCTGTCGTAGCCGACCACACCTTCCCACACCCCAAACTGAGCTTTGAAGAGGCGGGCATGAGTGAGGAGATGCAAGAAGATCTCATGAAAGAAATTGCTTGGCAACTTGCTCTCCAATCCGTGCTAGAAGAAGAAGAGCAAGAAAGGGTGCAGAAAGAAGTTGTGGAGGATGGCGAAAGTGAAGCTGGAGAAGTTCTTGATCATTTCCCAGGGGTGATACCACATGAAGAAGGAAGGGAGGTTAAAGAAGCAATTGGTGTCCAAGCTGAGGATGAAGCTGAGGTGGAAGAGGCCTGCACCGGCCATGAGTTACATGTAATATCTCCACCAAACTTCGAGGAGCTGCTTGGCAAGGACCCATTTGCAGTCTCTCTTTGCCAGACCAAGGCCACATCGACATCGGTCCCTCTTGGTGGACGCGATGGTGGCCAATCGATGTTGTCATATCTGGTTTGGGGCAATGAGACGAGAGAAGAGAAGAAGAGGTCTCGAGGGTGGAGACTTCATCTGCATCAAGTACATGAGCCTTCATCACCTGCCACACCACATGCTCATGACTTGAGACTCCACCTCATCGACGAGAACCTCAACTTCAAGGAGGTTCTAGCATGGACCGAAACTTAGGAGCCATCGTCCGGCTCACGACGTGAAAGAAGCGCTTGTTGGGAGGCAACCCAACCAGTCGGTTTGCATTTCTTTCTCTTTTTCTCCTCGGTTGAGTCAGTTTTGTTATTTGATTTTAGAGTCAATAACTCAACCTTTGTGAGATTTTGTGTGGTGTTTGTGTTCTGATTACTCTCTCTTCCTGGACTGCACTGCCTGACCCGTACATCATCATTCACCCTTGATCTGGTAACTTTGTTCAACCCTCCTTATCTTTCCTCCATTGAGGACAATGTCGTGCTTAAGTGTGGGGGGGTGTTCGATCATGTATGCGGGTGAATGTTTGGCTGTTTGTGTGCTTGGAGCCTAGTCCACTGTCCAAATTTTTAAATTTGAGGGCTCCAAGTACGTGTTTCCTTGCAATTGCCTGCTCAGTATGCTTTGAATTGACAGTCTTTATAGTAATATGCAACCTAGGGAGGTAGTGTAGCACTATGGAGGATGTTGATGCATTTAAGAAGTCTCGTTTCTTCTTCATATTGTGTTGGTTGATTGAGTGAATTAGTGATCTTAGGACCCTTGAATTGTGTGGTGTTGTGGATTCTCTACCTGTCATGGACTCTTGTATCATGTTTTGAAAGTAACAGGTGCTCGAAAATGTGCTTCAAAATAACGTCTCCCGTGCGAATAGGGCGAAAGTGTGTAAGGGGAGACGGGAATTCGTTCCCAATTTCCACCTACTACCTCCAGCCCCCTTACATGTCTTTCCCCCGCACGAGGCTCGAGACATCCGCTCCTGGCATGGCCGGTAAGAGCAGGTTGGGACCCTTGAAAGAAAAAAAAAGGGAAAAAAATAACAGAAAACAAGCAAAACAGAAAGAAAAGGGGTTCCAACCATCTTCAAGAAGAAAATAGAGCACCTTGAAAAATGTGAGTCCATGATCCTTTGTTTTTGAGAATCTCTGCATCCACAATTCATTTGTCCTCTGTTCACTATTTGCCATGATGCTGACTCGATACTAGTGCTCTCGCCGAAGAAGCTATGAGATGACTTGTGTGTCGGTTGACCTCGTAAGTTGCTAAATGATCTAGGAAGTCCTCTACCTACGATCTGGGGTGTTTGTTGCTATAGAGGTCTGAAGAGTTGCATTGGTTTGAGTTAGGTTTGCTTGGGGACAAGCAAACGGTTAAGTGTGGGGGAGTTTGATAACGATGTAATTGCACATGTTTGCGCCCCTAGTTCTTATCCGTTTGAGGGGCATATTCGTGTGTTGTGGCCTATTTTATGCTAGGTTGTGTTCCTTTGTCCCATTTCAGGTCCTAGCACATAAAGTGAAGCATAGGCGCAAGTTTCAAGTCAATCAGAGATCAATTGACGATTCGAGAGAGGAAACTCGGGCATGACCTGAAGAAGAATGGATTTCTTTCTACCTCACTTTATGGACAAAGAAGCGTGCAAGCTTGTTATGAAACGAAAGAGGACGAGACTACGAGCGTCTGGGATCAAACGGCAACTGATTCGGAGTCCGGACGAGGGAGAAACGAAGCATTAAACAGAGGCTGAGCAAGCTGCACGGGCAGACCAGGGAGGCTGCACGGCCGTGCACGTGAGCAATATGGCCGTGTGCCTTATGCCGAGGATACGCACGGGCAACCCCTGAAGCTTGCACGGCCGTGCACCCTGGCCGTGCGAGAGGGCTGAAGTTCGACTAAATGACACGCTGCGTTTTGAGTTGCACGGCCAGAATGGTGATATGCACGGCCGTGCACCCTGGCCGTGCGAGTCGGGATTTCCTGGTTTTAAGCCAAATTCCGAACCAAAGAAGAGGAGAGCTGGGTTTTGGATCCCAAACACCCAAGGGACGAACCAAAGAGAGAGAGGGCGATTTGAGGGCATTCTTGGAGTGGAGTTGGAGGATTTCTTCGCCTTGGAAGCTCGAGGAACAAGCCCGGACTTGAAGACTGATCATCTGAAGATTCTTACTGCAGTCTCTCTCTTCTCTATGGAGTAACTTCCCTTCACTTAGGTTTTGAGGAACCCTAGCTATGTTTGTTTGATTGGATGATTGTATGAGTACTCTGACTGGATAATCTTGAGTTCATATTCAATCTATGCATGTTTTCATGATTCAATTCTGCTTTAGTCGAGATTATTGATTCTGCTTTGATTCTATGAGAGGGAATACCTGATTAGGTCAATAGAGCACCATAGATTGATAGTAGTGGATCGATTGCTTTAGTCGAGGGTTGATTCACTGCTTTGTATCGATTGAGAACCTCTTTCGATAGAGGGAGTCTAGTTCAGAACGCCTTGATCAGTTGTTCTAGAGAAGGATACGTCCCTCTAGACAATTGACTCAAGAGGGCCTTGTTCCTTTAGTCGAGACTCAAGGTCTAGTCAAGGATTCTCCGCATTGTGAATGAAAGTGAAACAGGTTAGAGATCATCAATCATTAATCTGGCTAGTGGCTAGGGGGAATCATACCTAAGTGAGTTCCCAACCTGTAATTAGATTAACTTTAACTGTAGTTTGCTAGAGTAGTTTTAGTTCTTTCATCTTAATCTGGTTTGCTAAATAATAAACTGAAGCTGAGTAATAGTAACTCTAGAGACCCGTGGATTCGATATTTATCACTTGAGCCACTATACTGCAGTCCCTTCCATTGGTTACACTTGGCCATTGTTAGGTGTTGTGTCATAGCGAGTCAGATACTATACCCTAATCTCTAATGGAAGAACCCCAGCCCGCAATTCTCTAACCTAAACCATAAGATTTTTTTAATCTTAAATAAATTTCAATGGTTCGTGACTGTCATAATATAAGTTAGGGTAATGTCTATTTTTTATCCAAACCTTTTTCATATTCTTTTATATTATCCAAAACTATCGAAATACTAAGAATTAATCAAATATTAACTTCCAATTAGCAATTTGAAAAGATGCTATACCTATGGGAGCAAAGCCAGTTCACCATTGTCTTTGACAACTTCAAAATTGGATGTGTGCTTTCATTCAACGCGATCACCATACATTCTCTAATCTCTTGGGTAACCACACCCATATATATATATATATATATATATATATATATATGGTGCCTTCTACTGTACCCCGAGTGAAATCTGGGGTACCACATACCTTGAGTATGGAAACGGTATCTAGACCTCGAATTAGCAGGATTTTTGGGTTTGATACTATACCCTAACCCTTAATGAGTGAACCCTAGGTCCTAATTATCTAAAATCATAATCTATAAACTCTAAAATGGTGCATTCCTTTTTGTGCCTATATTTGGACGAATCATAACCGTCGATTATTGTTTCTATTTAAATTGATCTTGGAGTATAAGATTAGGAGAATTAAGACCTAGATTTTGATCTTAAAGGGCTAGAGTATAGTATCATATCCGAAAGATCGGTCAATTCAAGATCTAAATAGTGTTTTCATCCTCAAGGTATGCGGTACCCCAAATTTTAACCGGGGTACCGTAGAACTTACCATATATATATATATATATATATATATATAACTATATATGGTGGCTTCTTCGGTGCACTCACTTTTTTGGGTGCATTCAGTGCACCCACCTCTAAAAGTTGTCATAATACATCAAATTTTGAAATTTAATGGGTAGCATTAGTCTCATATGATGATATAACATAGAATCCCAACTAATCAACCCATTACCCTAACCTATTAACCTTCAATTTTGAATCTCAACCCAAAATCCCAAATTGTAAACCCTAACCCTAACCCTAAATTCCTAAACCCTGAATCATTCAAATTAAAGTGAATCTTGAATGATTTTTGTACAAATTCATGTGGTTCTTGTTCATCATACTACAAGGGATGATTAACATCGTTTTCACATGAATCGTCTGCTCAGAATGACTATTATAAGGCGGGTGCATTGAATGCACCCAAAAAAGTGAGTACACCGAAGACATAACTATATATATATATATGTGTGTGTGTGTGTGTGTGTGTGTGTGTGTGTGTGTGGAGTTCTACGGTACCAAGGTGAAATCCGGGATACCGCATAACTTGAGTAAGAAAACGCTATTCAGAACTTGAATTGACTGATTTTTCGGATATGATACTATACTATAACCCTTAAAGATCAAAATCTAGGTCTTAATTCTCTAAATCTTATACCCCAAGTTCAATTTAATTAAAAACAATAATCGACAGCTATGATTCGTACAAATATTGACAAAAAAATCAATGCACCATCTTAGGGTTTATAGTTTATGATTTAGATAATTAGGACCTAGGGTTCACTCATTAAGGGTTAGTGTATAGTATCATGCCCAAAAATCCTTTTGATTCGAGGTTTAGATAGCGTTTTCATACTTAAGGTATGCGGTACCCCGAATTTCACCTGGGGTACCGTAGAAGGCACCATGTATGTATATATGGTGGCTACTTCGGTGCACTCAGTGCACCCATCTCTAAAAGTGTCCATAATACATCAAATTTTGAACTTTAATGACATAGAATCATAACAAATCAATCTATTACCCTAACTCCTTAACCTTCAATTTTGAATCCCAATGCAAAATCCCAAACTGTAAACCTAAACCCTAACCCTAAACCCCCAAATCCTAAATCCTTCAAATTAAAGTAAATTTTAAATGATTTTTTTTAAATTCATGTGCTTCTTGTTCACAATATCATAAGCAACAATTGATACCGTTTTGACATAAATCACATGATCAGAATAATGATTATGAGGAGATTGCACTGAGTACAATAAAAAAAGTGGGTGCACCAAATACGCCACTATATATATAGTGGAAAGTTAATTACAGTCGTTGGGGAAGTTTTCAGCCTCTATAGTGGAAAGTTAACTTTCCACCATCAATAAATTTTTGTTGTGGTTAAGAATCAAGTATTGGGTCTAGTGTATGATTCACAAACAACCGAAAAAGGAAATAATGGAATCTGAGGGCCAGGTACTGCACATATATTACTGGAGCATAATTTTCTGATAATGTTGGTGGGTGAGAGACTTACAGTGAATGTTTTTATATTTGGGGGCCAATTATTACTATTGTTTGTTTTACTCAAGTTCTCTTTAACAAATGTGCCCTGTTGCCATTCTCGTATATAGAGTTTCTTGTCGCCATAACGGATAAAAACACCAAATAAATAAGCTTTCTCCAGAACCATTAATTAGAACTATAACAGAAAATATCGTATTTAAGTTAATACTCTCTATAACAAGAGAATAAGATTCAAACCATTCTAGCTCATCAATATCATGTGATAAGCAAGCAAATCAGTTTTGATTAATTAAAGAAAACTTGGAATCTGATCAGCTGTAAGCTAGAAAGTAATTTTCATTTGATTAACCCTAGCTCTACAATTTACATATATGTTCCAAAATATTCTGTATGTCACATGAAAATGCTTTCATCCTCTTCGGAAGAAATATTAAACCACTAAAAAGGTAAAAAAGATGGATCTCCGTTTATCCGCGTGGCCTGCTGGCAAGAGGGACGACCTCGGCGAGAGGCGTGGAGAGAGGGGACGGAAACGGCGACGTTCTGCAGAAGGGACACGTGGGGTGCTTGAGAAGCCACGGATCGACGCATTTGAGGTGGAAGAGATGGCCGCAGTCCGGTAGGAGCCGGAGCACGTCGGAGTTCCTGTAGTCCGCCAAGCAAATCGAGCAACACGACGCCGTCGTGTCCTTCTTCCGCCGCTTGGCTTCCGCGTAGAGCAGCTTCGGGCAGCTCTTCAGCGTCGCCTCGTCCAACCCGATCTCGATCGCCACGTGGCCCTGATGATGCGGGCTTACAGTACTGGATTCCGCCGCCGATCTTCTTTGGGGTGAGGCAGCGGCGGCGGCGGCGGAGGAGGAGGAGGAGTGGCTGTTGTTGTTGTTGTTGCGGGCGCAGAAGTAGGAGGCGAGAGTGATGGTGGTGATTAGGAGGAGGATGCCGAAGGAGATTCCGATTCCGTACCCGAACCCGCCGATGTTCTGGGATCCGAGGAATCCGCCGCCGGTGGCGGTGCTGTTGTTGTTGGGATTCATCGCCGGTGGGGGAATTTGAGAGGCTTATTTATAGAAAGTCAACTTGTCGCTTTTGAGTTGCATGAGATTGGTCTTGGACTTCATTGCTATTGACTAATTAATATGAAGAAATTAAAAATTAAAAATCTTCGGTTTTGATTAGGGAAATATAATGGTTCGTTAATTACTTGCGTTGGCCGTTGAGGGAGAAGTTGCGTGTGGATTTATTTAAAGTGGGGTATAATTAAAAATCTTGTTGCGTGCTAATGAGTGAAGCTCCATTGATTAATTAACTTGTAAAATACGTGTTATCTAGTATCGAAATGGAAAAGAACACTTCAACAATGTAATAATAGATGCTCACTTTGTACCTTTGTCTTATGATTAAATCACTTTTTTATTTCCGAACAAGGTCGTGGCGGAGTGGTCGAACTGCTGGTTTTCAGCTTGGAGCTCCCAAGTTTGAATCTCAAAGGGCGATGCTCGTTTCCCCCTCGCCGAACGCTCCAGTAGCATTGATAGTTAATCAGTTAGCCAAAAACCAAAAAAAATCTCCAGCTCCGTAACCCTTCATGAAAAAGGACCTTGCTGTAGAAAACCAACACCTCCACAAATCAAACTCCAAGTGAAGGGCAAAAACAAAGGAAATGAATGCAAGGAACTGAAAACTGAAGCATCGATATGTGTGCGACAAAGAGAAGCAGCATGTTCGAGGTGACCCTGGGGGAAGTAATATATGCGGTTTCCAACCTGAGGCAAGTAAACTAGTGGGCCAGCACAGGCGTACCAGAGCTCTGTGTTTATTTTTGTTTCTTTCATTTGTCCTTTAGTCCCAACCAATCCATCCCCACCTCTAATGCCCTTACCCTATTCTTTAGAAGAAGCCATTTTCAAGATAGGCTCTTCTTCCCACCTCAACCATTGCTCTGTTTTTAGGAATTACAAAGACTAACCTACTACACGTAGATTATGCATTGAGTATAAACTATGCATTAGCCAAATAAGGTTGGCATTGATAGTTAATAAGTTAGGCGAAAACCAAAAAGAATCCCCAGTTCCCCACCCCTTCCTGAAAAGAACTTTGCTGTAGAAAACCAGCACCTCCACAAATCCAACTCCAGGAGAAGGGCAAAAACAAAGGAAATGAATGCACGAAACTGAAAACTGAAGCATTGATATGTGTGCGACAGAGAGAAGCAACCTGTTCGAGGTGACCCTAGGGGAAGTAATAGACGCGGCTTCAAAGCTGAGGCAAGGAAACTAGTGGGCGAGCACAGGCGTACCAGAGCTCTGTGTTTATTTTTGTTCCTTCCATTTGTCCTCTAACCCCAACCAAACCATCCCCACCTCCAATGCCCTTCCTCTTTTCTTTAGAAGATGTCATTTTCAGGATATGCTCTTCTTTCCACCTAAACCCTTGCTCTATTTTTAGGACTCACAAAGACTAACCTACTGCATGTAGACTATGCATTCTGTATAAACTATGCATTAGCAAGATAAGGTTGGCATTGATGGTTAATCAGTTAGGCACAACCAAAAAGAATCCCCGGTTCCCCACCCTTTCCTGAAATGGACATTGCAGTAGAAAACCAGCACCTCCACAAATCCTACTCCAAGAGAAGGGCAAAAACAAAGGAAATGAATGCACGAAACAGAAAACTGAAGCATCGATATGTGTGCGACGGAGAGAAGCAATCTGTTCGAGGTGACCCTAAGGGAAGTAATAGACTCGGCTTCCAACCTAAGGCAAGGAAACTAGTGGGACAACACATACGTACCAGAGCTTTGTGTTTATTTTTGTTCCTTCCATTTGTCCTCTAGCCCCAACCAATCCATCCCAACCTCTAATGCCCTTCCCCTTTTCTTTAGAAGAAGCCATTTTCAGGATAGGTTCTTCTTTCCACCTCAACCTTTGCTCTAATTTTAGGACTCACAAAGACTAACCTACTACACGTAGACTATGCATTGAGCATAAACTATGCATTAGCCAAATAAGGTTGGCATTGATAGTTAATCAGTTAGCCGAAAACCAAAAAGAATCCCTAGTTTCCCACCCCTTCCTGAAAAGGACATTGCTATAGAAAACCAACACCTCCACAAATCCAACTCCAAGTGAAGGGCAAAAACAAAGGAAATGAATGCACGAACTGAAAACTGAAGTATTGATATGTGTGTGACAGAGAGAAGCAACCTATTTGAGGTGACCCTGGGGAAGTAATAGACGCGGCTTCCAACCCGGGGCAAGGAAACTAGTGGGCCAGCACAAGCGCACTAGAGCTATGTGTTTTTCACCCCCTTCTATTTGTCCTCTAGCCCCAACCAATCCATCCGCACCTCCAATGCCCTTCCCCTTATCATTAGACGACACCATTTCAGGATAGGCTCTTCTTTCCACCTCTACCCTTGCTCTATTTTTAGGGCTCACAAAGACTACTCTACTAAACGTAGACTATGCATTGAGTATAAACTATGCATTAGCCAAATAAGGTTGGCATTGATAGGTAATCAGTTAGTAGTAAACCAAAAAGAATCCTCAGTTCCCACCCCTTCCTAAAAAGGACCTTGCTGTAGAAAACCACCACCTCCACAAATCCAACACCAAGTAAAGGGCAAAAACAATGGAATTGAATACACGGAACTTAAAACTGAAGCATCGATAATTGTGCAACAGAGAGAAGCAACCTGTTCGAGGTGACCCTGGGGGAAGTAAATGACGCGGTTTCCAACTTGATGCAAGGAAACTAGTGGGCCAGCATAGGCCTACCAAAGTTCTGTGTTTATTTCTGTTCCTTCCATTTTTCCTCTAGCCCCAACCAATCTATCCCCACCTCCAATGCCCTTCCCCTTTTCTTTAGAAGACGCCATTTTCACGATAGGCTCTTCTTTCCACCTCAACCCTTGCTATGTTTTTAGGACTCACAAAGACTAACGTAACACGTAGACTATGAATTGAGTATAAACTATGCATTAGCTAAATAAGATTGGCATTGATAGTTAATCTGTTAGGCACAACCAAAAAGAATCCCCAGTTCCCCACCCCTTCCTGAAATGGACCTTGTTGTAGAAAACCAGCACCTCCACAAATCCAACTCCAAGTGAAGGGCAAAAACAAAGGAAACGAATGCACGAAACTAAATACTGAAGCATCAATATGTCTGCGACAGAGAGAAGTAACCTATTCGAGGTGACCATGGGGGAAGTAATAGACGCAGATTCCAACCTGAGGCAAGAAAATTAGTGGGCCATCATAGGCGTACCAGAGCTTTGTGTTTATTTTTGTTCCTTACATTTGTCCTCTAGCCCCAACCAATCCATCCCCACCTCTAATGCCCTTCCCCTTTTCTTTAGGAGAAGCCATTTTCAGGATAGGCTCTTCTTTCCACCTCAACCCTTGATCTGTTTTTAGGACTCACAAAGACTAACCTACTACACGTAGACTATGCATTGAGTATAAATTATGCATTATCCAAATAAGGTTGGCATTGATAGTTAATCAGTTAGCCGAAAACGAAAAAAATCCCCAGTTCCCCACCCCTTCCTGAAAAAGGATCTTCCTGTAGAAAACCAGCACCACAAAAAATCCAACTCCTAGTGTAGGGAAAAAACAAAGGTAAAGAATGCACAGAACTGAAAACTGAAGCATCGACATGTGTGCGAAAGAGAAGTAGCCTATTCGAGGTGACCTTGGGGGAAGTAATAGACGCGGCTTCCAACTTGAGGCAAGGAAACTAGTGGGCCAGTACAGGCGTACCAGAGCTCTGTGTTTATTTTTGTTTCTTCCATTTGTCCTCTAGCCCCAACCAATCCATCCCCACCTCCAATGCCCTTCCCTTTTTCTTTAGAAGACCCCATTTTCAGGATAGGCTCTTTTTTCCTCCTCAACCCTTGCTCTGTTTATAGGACTCACAAAGACTAACCTACTACACGTAGACTATGCATTGAGTATAAACTATGCATTAGCCAAATAAAGTTGGCATTGATAGTTAATTAGTTAGCTGAAAACCAAAAAGAATGCCTAGTTTCCACCCCTTCCTAAAAAGGACCACGCTGAAGAAAACTAGTACCTCCACAAATCTAACTCCAAGTGAAGGACAAAAACAAAGTAAATGAATGCACAGAACTTAAAACAGAAGCATCGATATGTGTGCAACAGAGAGAAGCAACCTGTTCGAGGTGAACCTGGGGGAGTAATAGACGCGGTTTCCAACCTGAGGTAGGGAAACTAGTGGGCCAGCACAGGCCTACCAAAGCTTTGTGTTTATTTTTGTTCTTTCCATTTGTCCTCTAGCCCTAACCAATCCATACCCACCTCCAATGCCCTTCCCCTTTCTTTAGAAGACGCCATTTTCAGGATAGACTTTTCTTTCCATCTCAAACCTTGCTCTATTTTTAGGTCTTTGTAAAATAAAAATAACTCACTTTTGATTCAGGTGAAATGCATAGTTTATACTCATGCATTTTCACTCGTATCGACTCAAGTGATTAATAACTCAGTGTTGAACTAACCTACTACACGTAGACAAATCAAGTATAAGTGTATATCACAATTAGGTGGCACAGTGTAGTGGTTGACCAAAATTGTATTCTTGAAACATAAGGCTATTGTTATTCAAAGGATCAATCGCTATCTTGTTGACAATTTAGAAGTCGAGGAATGAAGCATTTAGGACCAATTACTTCATTATGAAATGCGAATAATTTTCCATAAGTCCTTTCCAATGGATTTGGATTTATTTTTGAGATGTGGATTTAGGTGAGACATTCTCTAAAATACAGTTTTACCATCCTCCTACCTCTTATTAGCTCTCGCTCTTTGGAACCACAAGGCACAAGCAAAAAAAAAAAAAGGCTCTCACTGTTTGGTTTTATGATTATCGATGGAGGGGAGGCCACGATGTTCGTGGGCGTTGGCTTGAGGGGAGGATTGTAGGGGTACAATCTAAGTATTACATAAGAAAAATAAGGAAAACTAAATTGTATATATGTATCCAACTAGATCCATTAGTACAAGGCCTTTCGGAAATGTGTCTAAAAAAATAAATTAGTGCAGACTTGAAAGCCGACATCATCGTCATATTATGGAGTGTTTATTTGCATATACCAAAATGGAATTCATACTCCAAACTGTATTTTGAGAAATTTTTTAATCTTTTGATGGAGTGAGACTATGTAATGTACGTCGTACTTAATCATTGATATATTGCTATCAATATTCCCCACACTATATCTACCAAATACCATATAAAATAGATTTACTATACTGGATTGAGGATTGACACATATATATGCCTCATGGTTTATCTTGATGTCATGACGAAGGAACACGATATTTGACAATGTCAAAATGACAATGTGATAGTGTTCATATTAAAAGATTAATTGGATGATGACCTAGACTTCTTGCTGACATGGGTAACAATGACGAACTACTATACGCCACCAATTGCTTATGATTGTAAATAAATAGCCATTAACAAAGTGAAGAACCTATAAAATCACACATAAAGAAAATGTTTGGATGAGGTTTAATGTTGTTGGACAACTCTATGTTGATGAATCATAAAGTTAATCTTATAAATTAACGATGTTTGTATACTATGGGACGGGTCGTTTGGAAGTTGGGATTCTCGAAATTGATGTATTTAATCAATTTGTGCATTTTAATTTGATGCATTGGTTAAATGTATGAATTTGGACAATACGGAAAATTTAAATTGTGTTTTTTTGTTATAAAGAAAAGTTGGGTAGATAATCCATTGTCATCAATTGGGCTTAGATTTGGGCTCCCATCTTGTTCGACCACGCTAAACCAAATAATTTAGCTTGGCCCACTAACTCTTGTTCTGATTCCAGCCTGTTGTCTCTCTCCCACTCTAACTTTCCTCTCTGTCTTCCGATCTTCGCTGGAGGAAGAAGAAACAAATACACCCGAAAGCCCCGTTAACTCCGAAATTGAACCCAACCGGATCAACAAAAACTTGCAGCTTTGCCAAACGCAAGTAATGGCGACTGCAATATTTCAACCCATCCGGATTCTCATCCTTGCTCTTGCTCTGTCCTCGTCGCTGTGGATCGTGACTTCGGAAGACACAAACCGCGTCTTTTCGCCCTGCGCCGACACCAAGGTCCAGTTGTCCGACGGCTACACCTTCGGGATCGTCTTCGCCTCCAGGAACGCCTTCTACAACAACGGCAACACCAGTGGAACCCAGTTGTCCCCCTGCGATAGCCGGCTCGGTCTCTCCGGCCAAAATGCTCAGCTCTCCGTCTTCAGGCCCAAAGTCGACGAGATCTCTATTCTCACCGTTAATACCTCTTCCTTCTCTCCGGTGAGCTTGGCCCCTTCCATCAATCGCTCTACCATTATCTCGATTTGGGGTAAACCCGTAATTGATTTGGAAGTTTGCAGTCTTTTTTTCCCCCTTCGAGGCTAGGTGATGTTTGAATTGCATTTGACTTGGATTCGACTTGTGGTCAATATTGGGCTTAATCGGGAGTTTTGAGTGGCTGGTGAATTGGGGATTTGATATGATTTTGTACGATTCTACTCAAATTTGCTTTCTAGTTTGGTAGCTGATGATATGGGAAACGCTGCCACTTTTTTTTGCTGCTATAGATGAGGGATGTTTGCGCATTAGATTTTGAGCACTGCCCTTGTGCACGGGCTGTACGCACTATGCAATATGGCGATAAAAGAAGTTTTAGGCTTACTTCCAGGAATGATCATGACTGTGTGTGGAAATGGCGAGGATGCAATAAGATAGCTGGTGTCTAAGGACTGCTCTGAAGCAGCATAGGGTTTGGAGCTCAATGTAGTCAGAAAAATTAAGTTTTGGATTGTTCCAAGTATTATTTTGCTGAAGAACTTTCATGGCTAAGCATTATATAGTGTCAGAGCTTAGACTGTTGTAACTGTAATCATGGGGTACTTCTCTGAGTTGGACATTAACCAACTTGGATACGCTGCCTCCACCTTCGAAGGCTGAAGTAAGGCCAATAATGTCGAGGAGGCTTCGATTTTAAAGTTTGTGTTTGCACTATTTAGCTCTGAACAGGTTGGGTGAAACCTGTTAATTTGCAATTGCCATTGCTTTGTCGGACTTGAAACTGGGAATAAGGGAGAGATTCGGATGGCTTTAAAAGAAAGGAAGGAGGTCAGAGGAAAATGTGAAGCTCAGAAATAAGCCTCCATTAGGCAATACTGCAGACTATAAGTTACAGGGCCACCGAGTTTTGGATACTTCTGCATATTTCACTTAGAATCATAGGATGGTGGTTACTTGATTATTGGAGAATTCAAATATCTCTTAGGGTGGAGGCATTAATAAGCTCGATGGCATTAATAAAATTTTTCACTACATGCTTGGCTGTTAATACATTTTCTTGTAGTTGTATGTCCTCTGTACTGTGGATTGAGTTCTTTTCCCCGCTTAATGTGTTATATAGGACAACGTTGGTGGATACATGGTTGCATTTGGTGGCCGAAAATACGCTGCAAGGTCTCTACCCGCTTTTGTTGCTAACGGCACATACACTGTGACAAGTTTTACTCTGGTAAGTGAAGGTTTTTTCAACTCCATTTTATTTCTTCAATTTCACTTCTTTAAGACAATCCAAGTTTCAGGTCTCAGATTTCTAAGCTTCCTTAATTTTCTCTCCCTCCATCACAATGCAGGTACTCGAATTCCAGAAGGGTAGGCTGCAAAACCTCTTCTGGAAAAGAGATGGTTGTGCTAAATGTGGTGGCCCAAGTGGGCAGGGGATGGTCTGCCTCAACAATCAGGATTGTGCAATCAGAACTTCCAGCTGCAAGAACCATGGAGGTAACGTCGACTGCAGCATCGGGATCCAGCTCGCTTTCTCCGGCACCGACAAGCACTACTCAGCCCTCAACTCCTGGTACGAAGTCGAGAATTTGAGACAGTACTCCCTTTTCAAGCTCTACTCGAATCTTAGGGATTCCTTAACTAGCCAGTACGACTCCATCTTTAACTAGCCAGTGGGTAGAAAACAAACACGGAATCTTTCTAGTTCTTTTTTCTTGTTTGGGAAAATGATTCTGCTTTATGTTTATGGTTTCTTTCCATGTGTGTTGTAATATGTGTTCAGAGTTCCCAGATGGTTTCTGACAGTTCATTTTGTAAACTACCTCGACCGGCGGCCGAAAGCTAGTAATTAATTATCAGATCCAGGAGATGCCATCTTCCATTGCATTTATCAATTTGTTCGGTAAACAAACTCGTAAATTATTTAAGTGAAGTCGTCGGTCATAACTTAATGCTGCAACTTGCATAGGAATCAATTTCTGATCTATATAAACTTGTTGCATCCCATGGTTGTGAGAGGCACCCATTACTATAGAATCATGAAAGGGTCTTCACTCCTGAATCCCATTTCTCAGAGGCTACAAGGCAAGGTCGCCTTCATAACCGGGGGAGCCAGCGGCATTGGCGCTGCCACCGCCAGGCTGTTCGCCAAGCACGGAGCCAAGGTCGTCATTGCCGACGTCCAATCCGACCTCGGACGCTCCGTCGCTCGAGAAATCAGCTCCGAGGTCTCTGACGATGCTGTCTCCTACGTGCATTGCGACGTGACCAGCGACGTGGGCGTCGGCAACGCGGTGGACGCTGCGGTCGCAGCACACGGCAAGCTGGACGTAATGTTCAGCAACGCCGGGGTGCCGGGGAAGGACAACATCACGATGAGCATCTCCACACTGGAACAGCGGGTGCTGGAGCATGTGCTGGCGGTTAACTTAAACGGCGGGTTCTACTCCGCGAAGCACGCCGCGAGGGTGATGATCCCTCGGAAGAGCGGCAGCATCCTGTTCACGGCGAGCTCCGTCTGCTCGAGCTTCGGGGTGTCGTCGCACCCGTACGCGGTGGCGAAGGTGGCGGTGGTGGGGCTGATGAAGAATCTGTCCGTGGAGCTGGGGAAGCACGGGATACGGGTGAACTCGGTGTCGCCGTGCGGGGTGGCGACACCGTTCGCCTTCGAGGTGACGGGGGAGAGCGATCCGGAGGTGATAGAGGATTACATCTCGGCGAGGGTTGGGCTGAAGGGCGCGAAGTTGCGGGTGGACGACGTGGCGGCGGCGGCGCTGTACCTGTCGAGCGACGAGGCGCAGTTTGTGAGCGGGTTGAACGTTTTGGTGGATGGCGGGCACAACTTGAAGACTGCTTAGGCTGGCTGGTGTGAGGACATTATTATTAGATAATTATTAAAATGTGATGTGAGGAAAGTCGTTGAAACTTCGGGCGTTAAGATTCCACCGACGACATTGACTAATTTTGTTTGAAGTGTTCTATATGAATAAATAATGGCTTCCTTGATAGCAACGGGTGGTGGATGGGAACGGCTACAGTGCTAATTGTACAATAGTTAGCACCGTTCTAACCAAGGGAAAAACTACTACTAGTTTGAATTAGTAGTGATTTAGCTTAGATGTTGTATTGATTTCATAATAATCCGTAGTGATTTTTGCTAGTTATCACGGTGCTAACCCCTATAAGGGTTAGCACCTAATCCCATTTCGTGGTGGATAGATGTTGCATATCCATTATCCAATTTAATGTGGTTCACGTTTTAAACAATACTTATAGGCAAAGGTGTTAGGTGTAAGGCGAGCGTTGAGGTCTTGTCTAGTGTTTAGCTCGCCTAGATGATGCGTGCGTAGGTATTGAAAGAAAAATAGCTATTTGTACTGGATGATGAACGAAATATAAATTAGAAAACACTTCCTCTCTTCAGTTAAAATGATTAATAACTTAGTTAATATTTAACGATATGGAAAATAGCTAAAAAAATCACAAAAGCACAGCTCAATAGCTCACAAAGTTCTTGAGCTATTTGGCGGAGTTGATATTAATTTCCTCCCTTGATATTGATTGCCTAGCTCCATCTAATTATGCATAAGAGAAGGTTAGGGGTCACCTTACTCCATTGACTTGTTCCCACTTCCCAGTACCTAATGTTAGAAACCTATTTGTTGGGAAGCATGAGTAGGCCCAAACCCACAAAGAAGGAGTGAGGAAACATGCCCAAACAGAGAATTAGGACCACACAATTTGGGGTAGGCACATGACGACAAGAGAAGGATGAGGACAAGCGGTACGGAAGGAGGAAGTTGGAGAAGAGGCCATCTGGCGAATGTGGTCCCCGCTGGGCGCCTCTTATGGGACGTCCTGAAGGAGCCACGTATAGGCGCCTGACCGTTGTACCGTACCATGCATTAAATGAGGTGATGATGTGGGTTGGAATGCCAGGAGGACCGTTGGGGCTTCGACGAGTATAAATAGTGCTCGGTAGGTGGCATTTACGCAGGTTGGCTTCTCTCACTAAAATCTCTCTAAGCACTTATCTCTCTAGAATCTGCACTGACTTGAGCGTTGGAGTGCTAACGGGCATCCACCGGCCCGTTAGGCGCTTGCTGTGCAGGGTCCAGGCGCCTCTATTGCTGCTACCAGTCTTGGATTGCGAAGAAGCGAGGGCTAGGGGGTTCGTGGCTCAAACAATTGGCGCGCAGGAAGGGGTCCCATCGAGCAAGCGCATGGAGAACAGAACGAAGGAAATAAAGGGGAGGATAATGCGAGATCGTAGAGCTCAAACCATGAGGAGGGGGAGCGTCTGCTGAGTCAGGAACAAAGTATGGATGTGGAAGGAGAGGGCAGTCATGGGCGCCCGTATGCGGACAAAGGGGAATCCTTGACAAAAAGGGAATTGTTTCGAATCATAGCTGACCAAGATCGGGCCATAGCAGCGCTCAGAAGGGAGTTGGAAGGGGAGCGAAGTAAAAACATGTTAATGTATAGCCCAGGAGTGAGAAAGCGAGAAAGGGCGGGGGAGGACTCGAAGTCCATGTAATACGGATTTCCACATCATGCTGAGCAGGGCCCCGATGCGCCTGGGCGCACGCGTACCTGGAGGCTGCCCACTGAACACGTGCAGACAGGTCCTGATGAGCCTAACGTGTGGGCGCCTAAGAGAATTGCTAGGCGCTTTGGAGTCAGGCAGCCCCTGGCACGAAGTATCCTGATGGAACCGGCGGGAACAACGATCCCCCCGTTACCTAGTTATGATGGGATGGCTGACCCCGAAGATCATTTGAACAGCTACTTCACGAAGATGCAACTGTACAACAACTCGGATGCTACGCTGTGAAAGGTGTTTCCGTCCACGTTTGCGGGTGTAGTCTTGGACTGGTACCATCAAATCGAGGAAGGGTGCATCGAGTGTTTTGAGCAATTTGCTAAGCTGTTCTTGTCCAAATTTGCAAGTCGGAAACGTCGGACGTTGACTATAGGTGCCTTATTTAAGGTGAAGCAGAGGAAAGGCGAGGCGCTCAGGGAGTTTTACGATCGGTGGATCTCAGTAGCCATGGCGGTTAAAGACGTCCAGCCGGCGGTGTTGGCAGTTAGCCTAGACGGATGCACTTCGAGTGAAGAGCTGTGTCGAGTCCTTTCTAAGCGAGACGTGGTGTCCACTGAAGATCTAGATCGGAGAGTGCAGAAGGTGATCATGTTGGAGGAAACTCTGGCTGCACGAAGGGCCGAAAAGAGGCGCCTAAGGGGTGAAGAGGTGGACGTAAGGCAGGCGCCCATATCCATAACGGGAAATTTCGGTCCACAAAGAAGACCAGAGGTGCCCGCCCATTGCCAAGGGGTGTCGCTAATTTTACGGAATACAATGATACACTCAAAAATATCTTGCAATATGTTAAGGAAAGGGGCTGTCATATACGTTGGCCAGGGCCGATGCGGGGCCAACCTAATGAGAAGAATCTTGACCGATATTGTGACTTCCATCGGGACAAGAGGCACTACACGGCTGATTGCTACCAACTTAAGGATGAACTTCAAACCTTGGCCGATAATGGATTGCTCAATGATTTTGTAAGAAGGGTGGAAGAAAGAACCCATCGCACTTATGTGACCAGGCCGGCGCCTGTGACACCTGTGGTCCAAAAGGCGCCCGAAGCATCGGAGACTCAGTAGGTGCCTGCGATTCCTCCTCCGCCTTTTGAAGTGAACCAAGAAGGAGAACCCAGCCGCGTCAGGCTCACAGTTGAGTCCATAACTGGAACCCTCGACTTGAGAGAGAAGTTGGAGAGGACCAAGCGCCTGAGAGCAGCGTCGTTGGAGGCCAGGGCAGCGGTGCACATCCACTTCAATCAGGAACCAGATGAGGCGTGCCAGGTCCCTTCGGAAGAAGCTTTGGAGATACAAAGGGTGATAGCGGGATGCAAGGTGAAAAGAATGTTGGTGGATACTGGTAGTTCAACGGATGTCCTGTTCAAAAGTACGTTTGAGCGGATGCAACTAGCGCCTGAGTTGGTGCGCCCCTCAAGCTCGGTGCTAATTGGGTTCTCCGGAGCACCCGCCCAAGTCATCGGGCGCGTGCGCCTTCCCGTGACCCTCGGTGATGAAGCACATTGTGTGACGCATGCGGTAGAATTTGGAATTGTGGATTGCCCATCTCCATACAATGAGATACTTGGTCGACCACTCTTAGCACTATTCAATGGAGTGCATCCACTTGTCACCAAACGCTGAAGTTTGTAGTGCCGCAAGGTATAGGCATCTCGCAGGGGAGAAATATTCCATGATATGCACGAGAGGAGGACCCAAAATGTCGCGTTCGCAAGCATAGACTAAACACCGTCGACATTCGCCCCGAGGAGGGGCCTCGAGCCGAGTCTGTGGACGACGAGTTTGTTGTGGCGATAGACGAAGGGCGCCCGGAGAGACAAATACGAATATCGGCGCAAGCGCCTGAAGTCATGAAGGCGCCTTTGATCGAATTGCTGCGGGAATTCGGGGAGCTGTTTACCTAGAGCACACAAGATATGCCTGGGGTGTCGCCTGAGGTGGCGGCGCATAGGCTCGCCGTGGAGGAAGGAAAAATGCTTGTCCAACAAAAGCACCGAAATATGTCCCAAGAAAAAGAGGAGGCGCTTCGCCGTGAAGTCGACAGATTACTGGAGGCAGGATTTGTGGAAGAAGCAAGGTACATCTCGTGGTTTTCAAATGTGGTGTTTGTCCCAAAGCAGTCGGGAGACTGGAGAATGTGCGTGGACTTCACCAACCTCAACCGGGCGTGTCCCACGGATGCATACCCCATGCCACACATCGATTTGCTTGTGGATGCGACAACCTACCATGAGGCGTTTAGTTTCCTTGACATGTTCTCAGGCTACCATCAAATCCCTATGGTGGAGGAAGATAGGGCGAAGACGGCATTCATGACGCCCTTCGGTAACTTCTGCTACAGAGTGATGGAGTTTGGGTTAAAGAACGCGGGAGCCACGTACCAGCGTATGGTGAATCAAGTTTTCCGCAAACAACTTGGGAGGAATGTGGAAGCATATGTGGACGACTTGATCGTGAAGAGCAGGAGGCGCCAAGACCACATCATGGAGTTACGAGAAACTTTCGAGACAATGCGACACTTCAGGTTGAGGCTTAACCCTAATAAATGCTTATTCTTGGCGGAGGCAGGGAAATTCTTGGGATTCATGATAACTAAACGAGGAATTGAAGCCAACCCCAAACAAGTCAAGGCGATTATGCGCTTGCCCCCCCCCCTCGAACGCCAAAGGAGGTACAAGGATTGATGGGGAGACTAGCGGCGCTCGGGCGCTTCATCCCAAGAGCTTCTGACCGGGCGCCCCCTTTTTCAAGGTCTTAAAAAAAGCCACCAAATTCAAGTGGAGCAAGGAGTGTGACGAAGCCTTTGAAGACTTGAAGAGGTTGCTCACGGCGCCTACGGTGATGACGGCGCCCAAAGCAAATGAGGTGCTATACTTGTACATAGCTGTGTCTCACATCGCCGTGAGTGCGGTTCTTAATATCCAAGGACCCACTGACAAGCGAAGAGAGGCCGGTATATTATGTCAGCCGCATCATAGTGGGTCACGAAATAAGATACGTGCCGATAGAGAAGGCAGCGCTGGCGGTGGTGGCGGCAAACAAGCTCCGACCCTATTTTCAGGCTCATAGCATTGTGGTGCTCACGAACCTTCCCCTCAGGACAGTTCTGGGGTCCATGGATGTGTCTGGGCGCCTGGTGAAATGGGTCGTACAACTCAGTGAGATTGACATCAGCTATGCGCCCTGTCTTGCCATCAAGGCGCATGTATTTGTTGATTTCATGGGAGAAGGTGTAGTGGACGGGGGAACCGAAGTTGAAGAATGTTGGCAAGTGCATGTGGATGGAGCAGCAAGCCGAGCAGGCGCGGGGGCAGGTGTGGTCCTTGTTAGTCCGCTGGGCGCCATGCATGAGGTGGCATTGCTCTTTGCGGCCCTTAAAACAAACAACGCCGTGGAGTATGAAGAATCCTGGCAGGGCTCCACATTGTAAGATAGTTAGGCGCCCAAAAAGTGAATGTCAAAACTGGTTCGGCGCTAGTCGTTAATCAGCTGAACGAAGTTTATGAGGTGAAGGAAGAAACCCTAGGCGCCTATGTGCAAGCCGTTCGAAGGAAGTGCGTCTGGTTCCGTGATGTAACATTCACGCATGTCCCAAGGGAGGAGAACGCTCATGCAGATGCTTTGTCCAAGTTAGCAACGACTTTGGATTTTGAGGAAAGCCGAACAATGATCGTAACGAAAGAGGTGCCACATGAGGAAATGGTAATGGCATCCTTTGAGACGGGGGTGAGAGAAGGGTGGATGGCTCCAATCTGGCTCTTTCCCACCCAAGGAGTAGTGCCGGAGGACCCAAAAGAAGCTTGGCGCTTGCGACGGAAGGCAGCCCGGTGCGCCATTTTGGATGGTGTGTTGTTCAAAAGGTCACATTCGGGCGCCTATCTGAGATGCCTTACCGACGCCGAGGGGCAAGCGGCGATCAAAGAGGTGCATCAAGGGGCTTGTGGTATTCATGCGGGCGCTTGTAGCATCGAGAAGATACTGCTCCGGCAAGGGTATTATTGGCCAACCATACGAGCGGACGCAGGGAAGCACATGGCAGCATGCCACCAGTGCCAGATTCACGCCAATGATGTGCATCTCCCGACGGCGCCCATGCAAGGGAACGTCGGCGCCTGGCTTTTCGCCCAGTGGGGTATGGATCTCTTGGGTCCCTTTCCGAAGGCGCCTGGCAGTTCAAATACTTGATTGTCGCGGTGGATTACTTCACCAAGTGGATAGAGGCAGAGCCATTGACATCAATCACCGAGGAACAAATGCGGAAGTTCACAAGGAAAAACATTTTTGCAAGATTTGGACTCCTAGAATCCATCATCACCGACCATGGGAATCAGTTTGACTGTAAGAAATTCATCAAGTTTTGTGATGAAAATGGGGTGGTCTTGAGATTCTCTTCTGTAGCTTACCCACAGGCCAATGGACAAGCTGAGGCGGCTAACAAGAGTATATTACACGGCTTACAAACGAGCTGGTGGCTGCCAAGGGCAAATGGGTGGAGGAACTGCCAAACGTCTTATGGGTGCATAGGACCACATTCAAGGTAGCTACGGGCGAAACGCCCTTCGCATTGACTTACGAAAGCGAAGCGGTTTTGCCAGTAGAGATGCGCGTCCCAACCTTCAGGATGACCCACCGAGGAGAGTCGATGGATGCCCAGGAGCGAGTCGATGAGTTAGACCTATTGGACGAGCGTCGGGAGGTAGCCGTTCTGCGCTTGGCAGCAATGAAAAGTCAGGTCGCGCGATACTACAACAACAAAAATGCGTGCACACAAAATTGCGGTGGGAAGCCTTGTGTTAAAACGGGATTTCCGCCCTAAGGCCGCAGAAGAAAAGTTGGCACCAAAATGGAAAGGACCGTATCGCATTCAAGAAGTTGTTGGCCCAAATACGTTTAAGCTAGAGCACCTGTCAGGCAAGAATGGAAGAGGACATGGAACGCTCAAAATTTGAGGCGATACGAAGTAGGGGTGGCAGGTAGGTCAGATTATGGTGGGGAGGTCGAAATTGGCACCACATCAGGTGCAGAGTAACAGACGCCCTAACGTGAGTAGAAGCAAATGGCAAGTTGTTTCGGGAAAAGGCTTATTTTGGTTAGTAGGTTTTTTGTTGAGTTTTCAAAAGCGTCATTCTGCGCCGTAGACTTAAAGCGCCCTTTATGCGCCCGTAATTTTGTAAAGCGCGCGCGCTCCATGTAAAGCGCCCTAATTTTGCGCCCACATTTTTCAGAATCAGATTAATTATTATCTACGAAATTTGGTGTTGAGAAAGAGGGAACCTAGCGTTCACCCCATTGCGCCCACTATAGCGCCCACCCAATAGCGCCCACCGCATGCTTCTCCTCACGAAGAGCCTTAATCTCCTCCAAGTGCTTCTCATTCTTCCTGCTCAAATGTCTCTTGTCTTTCTTCAAAGCATCCTTCTCTTGGCGAAGGAGGTCAATCTCGCTCCAGTAGGCGCCTGCCTCCTCCAAGTCAAGCTTTTCATTCTCCAACCTCACCTTTGTCTCTTCATGCGCCCGTTTCTCATCCTCGATCAGCGTCTCGTATTCCTCGCGCAACTTCTTCTTTTCCTCGTCCACTATGCGCTGCACGAGCGAGGTGCTCGTAGCGGCTTCAAGTTGGGCGTCCTCGCACATTTTGATGAGCTCTTCTTGGCGCCTCTTCGCTGTTTCGAGGTTGTCTCGCTCCACGCCAAGAGCAGTGGTTGCCTTGGTGGCCGCGGCACACAAGGCTTCACGCTCCATAATGCCTTTCTTGGCCACAAGCATCATCTGCAAATCGGACAAGTGTTTGTTTGTCAACATATAACCAAAGAGATATAATTGAAACACAAAAGAAGAAATACTTACATGGGCGTTTATTTGGGACACCTCAGCCCAAGGATCGGCGTCTGCAAGGTCAAGGGGCGCCCGGAACACGTCTCGGACAGCTAATATCATTTGCAGAGTTACGCCTCGATCCAGTGCAGCGCGATTGGAGCAAACCAAATTAACCTTATGCTTTGGAGGTTGAAGACACTTCTCCACTGTTTCAGGCAGCTCTACGTCGTCATCCAGACGTGGGCGCTTACCTGACTCGCTTGGTACGCCCTCCACCTTCCTCTTTAGCATGTGGCACAAGGGCACTTCATCTTCTGGCACCTCCTTTCCCTGAAGCGGATCCACAGCAGGCGCCGAGATTTCGGTGGCCTCCGTAACATGGGGCGCCTCCCATGTATCCAAGGCATCATCCGAAGCATCGGGCGCCGGAGGACTGAGAATCTTTTTTGGCTGAATACTTTTCGGTGATTTTCCCTTTCGGTTCGTGCTCTCCTTGCCCTTAACCGCCGCAGGTTCAGGCGCCTGTATGTTAGCAGGTTCAGGCACCTCGGTAGCACCCTTGGATGAGGTGGTTTTGCGCGCCCCTTCGAACTTTTTTGCACCCTTCCTCTAATGGGGCGCCTTATTTGCCATCAAACCCAACTTCGCAAACTGGGTCTTCATTAAGGAAGCAACCGAGGTGAAATCAGCACCTACGCAAACAAACATGAAGGAAATTTGTTAAGCAAACATAAAAAGCAGTCAAGCACAAGCACAGACATATAAAAAGTAAACGCCCACCGTCGTGGTAATATTCATGTAACACATGCGTCCTAGATTCGATAGATTTCAAGCAAATGGGATGCAAAGAAAGGAGCCGGGCGCCTTCTCTCTCCGCTTTTGTCAGGGTTACCTCAACGTTGAACGCCTCGTGGTTGCCAACCACCCAGCCTCTTGTGAACGAGGCGCCGCTTTTTTAGAAGGAGTCTTTACGGTGCTTAATGAAGAAAAACTTCTAAACCATTCTCTACCTAGCTTAGGCGCCTCTTCTAAGAAATGGTCGGGGATATCTAGACGACTCTGAAGCGAGAGACAGTTGTCACTATAGGCCATTTTAAAGAAGTTATGAAAGAGGTTAAAAGTTGGCTCGACGTTATGTTGCCGACATTTAAGTTTGAATAATATGTGGATGAGAAAAACGAAGGGTGATAGGCGCCCAATTGAACATTTGCAAGTGGTTAAAATGTCTTCGAAAATCGGGTCTAGGAGGAAACAGATCCCAAATCGAAAGTATTCCCGATAAATACCAAGCCAGCAAGGACCAATCACCCCGATTCGGGCTACATGAGGCGCGGGCGCTTAGGTCCAAGTGCGGGGAAGTTGCAAAGAGATAACGAGGTTTTCTAACTCGAGCGCCTTCACGGTTGAAACATGTTTAGGACCAGCTTCAACTACGGACAAGTGACTTGTCTCATCAGGGGCCTGCCCTAATGGCCAGGTATCCACCCACCTCCCAATCTTGACGGATCCATCCTCTGGAGCGCCTGAATTAGATGACATGGGTGACATCGCTAATTCAGCCGCTTGTGGAGATCCGGGCTCGGCGCCTATAAGTTTTAGGGAAATGCTAACGTCAATGCTAAGTCCTAGTGACCACGGGCGCCTAGAAAGAAAGAAAGAAAATAAAAAACGAGTGAGAAAGGTTAAACTTTGCTACTTAACAACTTACTCGGTTTCGGATCAGAGGGCGTCGCCGCGCTGGCCACACCACCCGTGGACGGCGCTTGTGAGTTAGGGGGTGTCGTCGCCGTGTCTGCCCTTTCCCCCGTTGTAGGCGCTTCGGAGGTTTTTGGCGCCACTATTGCGGGGGTTGTATCATCCTTGGAAGGCGCCTGATTCTTGGCACGAGGTGTCCATCCACCTGATTCGCGAAGCGGATCCGACGAAAAATGTTTCTCTAATACCGAAAGGACGTCGGGCGCCAATCCGGTGTCCTTCATCGTGTCCGAGGATGTGGCGCCTGAGCCGGATTTGCGAGACATTGGAGATCTTGGCTAGTTGGAACGGTAGGCGCACAGGCGGCTAAGTTTAGAGAGAGGAAGTTAGAGAGAGGAATTTCGCAAAAGTGAGGCAGAGGGAAAGTGACCTGCGATATTTATATGAGGGAAAGCCCAATGGGCAAGTGTGGTAATGCGCGCACAACCCTCAGATTTCATCCTCACCATCCGATTTGAAATTTGAATTAAAAAAAAGTGCATACATATCATTGTTATTATTTTTAAATTCAAATTTTAAACCGAACGGTGAGGGGGGCGGATATAGATGGGCGCATTAGTAAACGCCTGTCAGTAAGGGAAGGCGGTAAAATGGGTGCCTACAGAGGAGAGTGGCGGGAGTGCGAAGGATGGGTAAGGAAATTGTCAAAGAAAATATCATTTACAGTCCTTAGGCGCCTATGGTGACGCGCAGGGGGGGGGGACAAGAGTGTGAAGGCCGTGATGAGGGATATGTAGTGCAATTGTTACAAAAAGGGTCTTGCATAAATTTTACATAGTTAGGCGCTCATTATGAGCCATGAACGCCTAACTGGGGGACAATTGTTGGGGAAGCATGAGTAGGCCCAAGCCCACAAAGAAGGAGCGAGGAAACAGGCCCAAACAGAGAATTAGGACCACACAATTTGGGGTAGGCGCATGACGACAAGATAAGGATGAGGACAAGCGGTACGGAAGGAGGAAGTTGGAGAAGAGGCCATCTGGCGAATGTGGTCCCCACTGGGCGCCTCTTATGGGACGTCCTGAAGGAGCCACGTATAGGCGCCTGACCGTTGTACCGTACCATGCATTAAATGAGGTGATGACGTGGGTTGGAATGCCAAGAGGACCGTTGGGGCTTCGACGAGTATAAATAGTGCTCGGTAGGTGGCATTTACGCAGGTTGGCTTCTCTCATTAAAATCTCTCTAAGCACTTATCTCTCTAGAATCTGCACTGACTTGAGCGTTGGAGTGCTAACGGGCATCCACCGGCCCTTTAGGCGCTTGCTGTGCAGGGTTTAGGCGCCTCTATTGCTGCTACTAGTCTTGGATTGCGAAGAAGCGAGGGCTAGGGGGTTCGTGGCTCAAACACTATTCATTCCAAACATCTAACTAGGTGTGGAACCCCTAGACAGGGAGTATTGACATTGACTAGCACCCAAGCCTGCCTGAGCTTAAGCATAAACGCATCTTTTTGAACCATGCTCATACCAATTACTAACAAAAGAATGAGTCGCAAATTTAAAACTATGTTGATATTCAATCGTGTTTCAGATATCCATGTTGTAATTTTTCTTCGTGACATATTAGCATTTGCATGTATAGATATTATATTTATATAAGTGAAAAGTATAACAATAAATAATTAGAAAAAAAATTAGTTGAAGAGAATAAAATTTAATAAAATTATATCATATACGTATGGAAATTTTCATAAAATCTCATGAAATTATACCATAACTGGCAAATACCCTTTGGATTCTAACTTTACCCTACCCAATTATGTCGGATATCCACAGATGTGAAACTTTTGTCATCCCGAGGTAGTGATTTTTTATTTTTATTTTGAGAAAATGGTGTGATACAAAGAACTTCATCCAATTGTATAAAAGTAGTTATGTTTTTTGTTTTGATTTTTTTCATAATTTTGTGTATTTTTTTATATGTCAGTACCACATAGGTTATTCCAGCGAAAAATTCTTATGTCAAAACCTTCTTATTGATTTTTAGAGTTATGAAACAGCTAAACTATGACGATTAAACAACAGAAATACTCTGTTGTCAAAATTTTCAGTACAAACCTTCGATACAATTTTACAATCCCGATTTTCTTAGAATTGTATTTGATAAATTGACATTCAAAACTTCGAAAAAAAATGAAACTCATCAAAAGGCAGCTGTAAATTAAACATCCATATAATGAAAAGACGAACAAATCTTATTGTTCCAAACCATAGCTGCAACCGCAGCTGCAATTAATTGCCTTATACTCCCACTGCAGTCACTGGCCACCGCCACTGCACCATCCGCCGGGAAACAAGTCCAACTCACGAAGACCACCAACATCAGCCGTCGCCTTCTCAGAACCCACATCATCACCATCCCTCCCAAGCCGGAGCCCTAGCTCCACCCCGACCAAACAACCCAGATCCGGCTTCCTATCCTCCTGATTCTCCCCCTCGACCCGACCCGGTGGGTTAGACCCAACAGGCCCGATCCGCTTTCGAATCTCTTGAATCTTCTCGTGGATCAGCCGAGCCAGGCTGTTCACCTGGGATGTCTCCAACTTGTCCAGCCCGTTCTCATCACGATCCACCTGTTAAAAAACATCGTAACGGCGCAATTAATTTCTCCAATCACAAAAAAACCTGTTAGCTAGGTGCTTTCAAGTTCCAAAAAAACGGAAATACCAGATTCATGAGCCACGTCAGCTCCATGTTCCGCAACTTCTGGAGTTGCTTGCGTTGGTTCTCCTGCGCCTTGAGAACGGCGTTACACAGGTATCCTTCCTGGTCGGTCATGTTCTTGCTCCGCTTGGTCTTGGATGACAACGACGAGAATCTCACCAGCATCTGCTTTGCCTCGTCGTGCGACGGCCAAACCGTTGGTTGCTCTTCCCCTAGGCCGTAGATCAAGCACATCCCAGAAACTCCGCACATCGTCGTCAGCTCGGTTACTTTCTTCACCAGCCCCGCGCACCGCTTTCTCAGGGCCGCCCGGCGTGCGACCTCGTCTTCGATCCACTCCAGTTTCACCTTATCTCTCGGCATGATCTCGTCTTTCTCTTTTGGCTTTTGTTTTTTGATTGTGGTTTTGGTTTGCTGATTTGGATGTGTGGGGGGGTTGGGGTTGGGGGGGATTTATAGTGTAGGAGAACTTGGTGACTAAGGGAAAAAAGTTTTGGATGCTGTTTAATTAAGTAATTATGGAATGTGAGTGAATGGAATTCAAACTAGTGTGTTGAGATATGATAAATACATAGGAGGAACCATAATTTTGGGAAGGTAATCTTCTTTTTTTACTCATAATGGTAAATTATTCATAAATAATGATGATTTCAGTAACGTAACGACTCGTCGAAAAAACGTTTCGTGATTTATTGAATCTCCTTAGGTGTTCATTCACGAATTGAAAAAAGCTCATGATGTAGACTTACAGTTACGAAATAGAGGGAGTGTGTTTAGGGTTTTCTCGCTTTGTTTTTTTTTTTTTCTGGGACGGACATTTGTGAACAAAGAGTCGGACTAGGCTTTTCTCATCTGTCCCTCATGTCGGTGGTGGACACGCCGGTGGTGATGCTCTATCCGTTTCGTGAGGTTGAGAGATCGAGAGGGCTACTGTCCGCGAGATTCGGCGATGATGGCGGAGAGATCCATGGATGATGGCGGCGGGGAGATCCAGATGTGACAGGAGGAGAGATCGAGAGGTGACGATGGTGGAGAGATTGAGAGCCGACGCACAGAGAGATGGAGAGGCGACGATGGTGGAGAGGTTTGGCGACGATAGCGGAGAGATCGAGATGCAACGTCGGTTTTTTTTTGTAGGGTTTGAGTCGGCAGAGGCAGGGATTCCAGAAAGGTGGGGCCTGAGGGTGAGGGGTGGAGGTAGGAGGAGATGGTGGTGGAGGCAGATATAGACGAGCTAAAGGTCAGGTAGTGAGAAGAATTAGAGTTTTGGGGGAAATTGCTCATTAGAGCTTTCCATTGATCATCATAACCATATATATACAAGCAGCTAATTACATCTTAACGGTAACTAAAACTAACAAATGGATTAAACCTATCAAAGCTATACACGTGTAAATTGCACAGTAAAACCGGAAGCTAGGCTGTTAGCCCGAACGCTGCGTTTTGCTTCCTTTCTTCTTCTCTTGTAAACGGCGCCGCTTGAGGCTCTGCCTTGTTCTTCATTCTTCGTTGTTCCTCAGCAACAGCAGAGCCTTCATTCCTTCTCACAGCAAGGCTGCTGCAAGTTGGATCATCAGTTCTCTCTGTTACCCTCCCACAAGCTGGCGAGTATAGATCATATACTCCCAACTTGGATAACAAAAGAGCAAAGCGATCAATCGGTAGACTTTTAGTAAAAATGTCTGCTAGCTGTGATTCTGTTGGCATATGGTGAAGAGAGATCAAACCAGATTGAACACGTTCTCTGATCACATGGCAATCCACATCGATATGTTTCGTCCTTTCATGGAACACTGGGTTCTCGGCTATGTGGATTGCTGACTGGTTGTCACAGTAGACTTTGACTGGATGCTCATGTGTGACTCCAAAGTCCTTCAACAACCTGATCAACCACTCAATTTCACAGCTCAGGCTAGCCAAAGCCCTGTACTCAGCTTCAGAAGACGATCTCGAAACTGTCCTCTGCTTCTTGCTCTTCCAAGTGACAATTCCTGAGCCAAGGAAGGTACAATAGCCAGTGATAGATTTCCTTGAATCAGGACAAGTTGCCCAATCTGAGTCACTGAACCCTGTAAGAGCAAGAGTATTTTCCCTTGGATAAAGTAATCCCTGACCTGGTGAGCTCTTTAGGTATCTGAGAACCCTATGTAATGCTCTTAGATGCAGGGAGGTGGGATTATCCTGGAACTGACATAGTTGCTGCACAGCAAAGCTAATGTCAGGTCTAGTGGTAGTAAGGTACTGCAGCTGGCCTACCAGGTGTTTGTATTCACCAATGTTCTTCAAAGGAACACCTCCCTCTGCTGATAGCACTTCCTTCACATAGATGGGAGTGGCAGCTGGCTTGCAGTCTTTGAATCCTGATTCAGTTAAAAGATCAAGACAATACTTTCTCTGGGATACAGTGATCCCTTTTACTCCTCAAACAACTTCCAATCCAAGGAAGAACTTCAGTTCCCCCAGATCTTTCATTTTGAACTCACCCTTTAGTAAACCCTTGGTCTTGTTGATTGCCTCCAAACTGATACTCCCAATCAATATGTCATCCACATAAACAATGAGCACAACCAACTCTCCAAGAATCTGAGCAGTAAAGATGGAATAATCACAAGCAGATTGTTTGAATCCATGTCTTAACAAGCTTTCTGTTAGCTTCATGTACCATTGTCTGCTTGCTTGCTTAAGGCCATAGATTGACTTTTTCAGGTGACAAACTTTCCCTTCTTTAGCTGCCTGATCATCCAAACCAGGTGGAATTTCCATATAGACCTCTTCAGTTAGATCCCCATTTAGAAAGGCATTACTTACATCCATTTGATGTAAGTGCCACCCCTGTGTAGCTGCTACTGCTAGTAAGGTTTTCACAGAACTCAACTTTGCTACTGGTGAAAAGGTGTCACAGTAGTCAATCCCATAGATTTGGGTGAAACCCTTAGCTACCACTCTTGCTTTATGTCTCTCTATTGTTCCATCAGAATTTAACTTCAACTTCCACACCCATTTGTTTCCAATGATCTTCTTTCCTGGTGGTGGAAATTTGATCTCCCATGTCCCATTGTCACAAAGAGCCTTCAATTCATCCTGTGCTGCCTTATTCCAGTTTGGATCTTTGATAGCTTCCTCATATGAGGTTGGTTCAGTGTAGGTAGCAAGGCTGTTAATGAAGTGTTGGTGTTTAGGTGAAAGGTGGCTATAGGACATGGCTTTGCTAATGGGGTACTGGACATAATAATCATCATGCCAGTTGGGTGGTTTAGTTGTTCTGGTGGGTTTCCTTTGGGCAAGAGGTGGAGTAGGTGATGAGTGTGGTGGTGAGAAGGTGACAGGGGTGGAATCATGGGATGTAGAGGGAGCTGGGGAAGAAGGTAATGAAAAGGGAATAGGGGAAATGGCAGGAGTGTGTGGTGGATCATCAGGATGAGTGGAAGAAGAGGGCAAGGGAGTGTGAATGCCCCCTGCAGACTGATGATCTACTGAAACTGGGGTGTCAGTGGGTTGAGTTGGTTGATTTGGTGTGTAGGTGGTAGATGGTATGGGAAAAGAAGTAGATGTGGAGAAGAAATCAGTTGAGGAAAGACTAGGGTCAGGAGAGGATGAGGTTGCATAAGGGATGATGTGTTCATAAAAATGAACATCCCTGGAGATGAATACTCTTTTGGTTTCAAGGTCAAGCAACTTGAACCCTTTGATGCCTACTGGGATTCCTAAGAACACACATTGTTTGGCTCTGGGTGTGAATTTTGTTCTATGGGGTCCTGCAGTGGAGGCATAAACAAGGCAACCAAACACCCTAAGAGTGCTATAGTCTGGAGGGAAGCCATACAACATCTCAAAGGGTGATTTGTTGCTCAAAACTGGGGTAGGTAAACGGTTGATAAGGTAGGCAGCATGGAGCACAAACTCACTCCAGTATGACAATGGGAGGCCTGACTGGAACTTGAGAGCCCTAGCAACATTTAGGAGATGTTGGTGTTTCCTCTCTACTCTCCCATTCTGTTGGGGAGTGTAAACCACACTCATCTGGTGCTCAATCCCATGCAACTTGTAAAACTCATCCATATGAAACTTCTGTCCTTGATCTGATCTAATAATCTGGACAGATTTTTGGAACTGATTCTCAACCATAACACAGAAGGATTGAAGCAAATTTCTGGTTTCATCTTTAGTTTTCATTAAGTAGGTCCACACACATCTACTACAATCATCAACGATGGTCAAGAAGTAGCTAAAGCTGTTGTAAGATTGAGTGCTCAAAGGCCCCCAAATATCCACATGTAACAAACCAAACACAGTGGGATTGACAGAAGAACTAGAAGGAAAAGGCAAACGTTTCTGTTTTGCCAAATGGCAAACATTACAATGAACTATTTGTGAAGGTATGACATTAGGAAACTATTTGTGTATAGCTTCTACTCTAGCTATGTAGGGATGGCCAAGTCTGGCATGCCAGAGATCAAAATTCTAAGGCTGGAAGTTGAAGTGAGTTGTGGCAAAGCACTTAGGTAGGGAATTAGCATGGGCTTCTTTGTGGTTGAACAGGTATAGACCCTTATCGACCTGGGCTAAACCAATCCTCCTCTGTGTAATAAGGTCCTGTATAACACAGAAAGAGGATTTGAATAAGAGTGAGACAGGGTTTGTTTTGGTAAGTTTGCTAACTGAAACCAAATTGTAAGAAAAACTTGGTACAAACAGGACTTGTGAAAGAAACAAGTCACAGGGAAGTTTGACAACTCCTATGTGTGTGGCCTGTACCCTATTTCCATTAGGTAGATTGACATATATCCCATCTAAGGGCTTGTATTTCAAGAAATACTTCAAATGGCAAATTATATGGTCAGTTGCCCCAGTATCAAGCACCCAAAGTGGTTCTGCAGTATTGGCTAAGAGTGTAGACAAGACTGTAGTACCTGAGCTTGAGGGAAGGTGCATTGGCTGATACTGAGTCACAACAGCATTAGCAGAGGGTCTGATTGAAGGTGATGTTGGTGGAGAAGGTGATGGTGAAGGAGATCCCAGTAGGAGTATCTTCAATTTTTCCATTTGTTGACTGCTCAGCTGAAGGCTTGCCAAACCTCCATCTTTGGTTTGCAAGTCAGGGCTTCTCTTCACTGAGATACCTTCTGGTTCATTTCCGGTTTCCACTGAACCAGCAAAACTGCCTCCTTCAGCTTCTCTTGCCTTTTTGTTTTTCAACTTAAGGCATTCAAACACAGTGTGGTACTCTTTCTTGCAGTACCTGCAAAACTTCTTCCCATTCTTGAAGTCTCTATCACTGGTTTGTGGGTGTTGAGATCCTTGACCGTTGTTGTTGGATGCTGCTGCAAGTGCTACTGACTCCACTCCCTTGTTCTTGTTGACACACTTCATCTGTCTCTCAAGCTGTACAATCTGCTTGAAGACAACATCAATGCTAGGGAGAACAGGGT